TATAAAAAATTATATCACGGCAACAGCAGTTATCAGTGTTCACGTCTGATCTGACAGCCACTAAATGTCAAATCAGGCTAAAGTCGTGCTTCAAATGGCCCCGCCCGTTTTTTGGGCGATTTCAGTCAGGTTGAAAATCGCCCAGAAGTCTCTCATAGCCTGTCATGTAAAATCTATTTTTTTTACATTTCAAAGCTTTCAATACATTCTCTATGGGTGTCTGTGGGCTTGCACTTACGCGCTTTCGTCATACATAACGTAACCACGAATGAACGTAACTAAGAAAAGACCAGGTAGCAGCCTCAATCAATTCACTACTACTATCAAAATGGCTAGGCTTCAGTCCAACTCGATTGTGTCTTTGAAAGAAGTTCCTTTTTGTCGGCGAACAAATTAAGATAAATTGGCAACGAAACAATTAGGACCTCCCAGACCAAATTTAATAATTCAACAGGTTTCTACTAAAGGCGGAAAGTCCTACACCCGAGGATTTTCCAAAAATTGGTACGAACGAAAAAAGACATTGCCACTCACTCAACTGGATGACGAGGGATACAGGCTAGCTGTCCGCCGCCACAACGATGAGGTTAGTGTTGATAATCACAAGTTTACTGGATGTGGATATGGTGTAATAAAGGCAGTTTATTCAGAGGTAAATATATCTGGAATCGCGTTCACGGACCCGTTCGTCAAACTCTTAGGGAGCTATAAATTAAGCCCATTACTTACCATATCAGATAAGAGAAATTGCTGCAGCTACATATATTTTACATCCTGGCCCTACATAGTTCACTATTTGCATCACTTACCAAAATATTACATGTGGTCATATATGCTTGGAAAGTGGAGATGCCATAGAACGTCAAAAAAGTAAACATTGCTGGAGACACATTGTCGTTTTGGAGAAGACATCGCGTTTGCTAGCGAAGAGATTTGTTGTGGCAAATGAACTTGGCCTGGGAATTGCCAGGAACCTCACGATAAGATATATGCATCAGCATTGCGAGTCTCATGATTCTATACGTATTGCGATTCGATACTGTGATTTTATTGCGCACCATATGTCTGTTGCAGAGGGATCAGAAAGCCATGAGAACGAGTTTTGATCAGTCATGGAAATAAAAGTGCTGAAAACTAATTGGCTCCCAATGTGAAAAGATTGAGAACAAGCTATGAAGGAACAATAATGGTGTTTTGGTGCAGGTACAGCCAACTAGCGCTAAAATATTGCGATATTGTCAATACAGTATATCGTAAAGTATCACTATGTAACTCGATTTCTTTCACCCCAATCCCTCAAATTAACGGTAAATAACTGAATTGTTTGCCCCACATTTAGCTAAGATGATTAGCTAGCCAGCTAAAATGTTTTATTTAGTTAGCAGTCGCATCTACAATAGTTTACTGTCAATAACATGTCTCCAAAAATGACGTGGTGTCTCCAATTGTGTTGACATTTTACAATTGCAATGCGCATCCATGAGTATCCACTTTCTGTAGCTCAGCTGGTAGAGCATGGTGCTTGTAACGCCAAGGTAGTGGGTTCGATCCCCGGGACCACCCATACACAAAAATGTATGCACGCATGACTGTAAGTCGCTTTGGATAAAAAGCGTCTGCTAAATGGCATATTATTATTATTATTATTATTATTATCTGAAGAGAGCCCCGAAACATTGTGTGCAGACATTTTATGCAATAAATGAAGTAGGTTCAATCTAGTAGTTCTGATCTTCTGATTGGTCCTGATGAGTTGGGCGAGGTCACCTCCAGGCTACTGTCACTGTTGCATTGGCTCTGAGTCGGGTTCTCTGTCTTCAAATGTTCAGCCTAAGAGAGGGGATTTTTGTGTGTGTGTGTGTGTGTGTTTAACAGTGATGATGTGTGTGTGTGTGTGTGTGTGTGTTTAACAGTGATGATGTGTGTGTGTGTGTGTTTGTGTGTGTGTGTGTCCTCAGAGCAAGAACTCGTGAGTTGGAAGAACTGAGAGGCCTATGGCGTGGGTGTTGTCCTTGGCCACCTGCTGACAAGGCTGACAAGATAGGACCCTTTTGTCCATTGTTATTGGATAGGAACAGAACTTATAACCAGCTCCTGACCTAAATAGATCTTAGCACAACATTTTACTCAACATATCATATTCCATATTCACTATAACAAATATATTTACTACGACATTAGCAAGAACCGCCACATCCTCAGCCGGCTAATCCAGTGTGTGAAGTTTTGCGGAGTGTTTGAGTTAGCTTTGCGAGGCAAAGATGAAACTGAGGGCTCCACCAACCCTGGTAAGCCAACACTTTTGAGATCAGTCAATAAATGCTTCTGGTATTGACTTATATGCTGCCCCTGTCTTCATGTTGTTGCTGGACATATCTTTTTTTTAAATGTGTGTAGGTCACCTAAATCATCAGAAAAATTGCCCCTCCTGAGAATTTTTTCAGGAGCCGCCACTGATAGTAGCCAATGGTTCCTTTGTTCAGTGTTTCTTAATAGTTCCATTTGTACTGTCTGTTTCAGTCTCTGGCCCTTAAGGACTGTTTAGTCCAGACAGATTACTGAATGACTGATGTATTTCCTCTTTAACAAAAAGATCCTGACCTTCTTGACTTTTCTCTCCTTAGTGGTGGAAACCAAATAGACAGTGAACTCTTCACTGGAAGTCCAGATAGCTGATAATTTTTTACAAGTCTGCCCTTTTTTAGAATGTACTGTATAGTATTACAGACCTACCTCTGTGAGGTTTGTGTGTTATGTATTGCATATTTCTTGATTACTGTGGCTCTGTGTGGTTGAGTTCAGAGAGTCAGAGTCAAGGTCTTCAGAAGGAGATTTAGCCAAGATGTCACATAGGATTTGACTGACTGTAGATCAGGTTGTGTGTCCTACCAACCCAGAGTCTGCTAGAACCATTAACATAACAATTTATTACTACACAACATGGCATCAGAATGGAACCCAGCTATGTGTCCAGCAGTTTGTCAATGAACTGTGTCCGGTGTCAGAGTCCTGTGTTTGATGAGGACTGGGCACACAGTCAGGGGCCCAGGGGGCTGTCACAAACTCAACTGGGGCTGATGGGACCATAGTCATTGATTCAGTCAGGACCTTTAAGTCTTAGAGTCTGGTTGGATAAAGGGTGTTGCATAGTGGGGCTGGTCTGGTCAAAGTGGGGTTGCCTTATGTGATAGGATCCTGGTAAGGTCTCCATAGGGTCATCTACAGGTGATAAAGGGATAGAAAGGTCCTAATGTGTCCTCTGTTTTCGTGATAAACCATGCTTATGTCCGAATGTGGGTCGTCTGGTGTGATACTGTAGAAGCATGTTGAGATGCATCCGTGGGTTGTCAATGTGAGATGAACCTTGATGAGTTCCCCATGTGGGTTGTCTATGTGAGATAAACCTTGATGAGGTCCTGACGTGGGTTGTCTGTAATTGATAAAAGCATGTTGAGATGGGGTCATGGGTCGTCTATCTTACCGTGGGTCTTGTCGTGTGATAAAGCCATTGTGTGGTCTGAGAGGATAGTATCTCCAGGTCACGTGTCCGTATTGTCCCCCTGGCCTGGGTCTGAGCAGCAGCAGCTGATCAGGGGCGGAACAATAAGGCCCTGTAATCAGCAACCCCTATGTGTGTGAGTGGAGAATGTCCTGGATAAACACATATAAACATAAGCAGATACACACACATGCAGTCACACTTGCATGCACGAGTGCACTCGCATATACGCTCATGTAAACACACACACACGTTTTGTTTTACTATCCTTGTGTGGACCAAACAATTAATTCCCATTCAAAATCCTATTTTCCCTAACACTAATTCTAACCCTAACCCTAAACCTAACCCCTAAGCCTAAAATAGCCTTTTTTCTTGTGGGGACCGATGAAATGTGTCCCAGTGTTTTACTATCCTTGTGAGGACTTCTGGTCCCCACAAGGATAGTAAAAGCACACAGCCATGCACACACACACACTTATTACAAACAGACGTACAGTACATGAACATGGCGTGGGAGGATTGGCTCTGTAGTTGGCGACCTGGAGTCACATGATGAGTGGTCTGCAAGTGGGTGTGATGTTTGGGGCTGATGATGTATGATGGGGGACTGAGGCTGAGCGGTATGAATCTCCTCTCTCAATAAAGTGTAATTATTGTAGTCATTATATTGTAACTCTTGAAATCTTCAACTAATGTATTTGGGTTTTAATAAGGGCATCTACTAGAAAAAGTAATAGTCTATCTCTGTTAAATTTGTCATCACTCTCTGTATGAATCTGAGGGTTTGTTTATGTTCTTCCTCTTCCATTCTGCTCTTACTGCCACCTGAACAGTGAACACTGATCATCCTTAACTCCTGCTTGACCCAGCGCCTCAGACTGCTAGCAGCTGTCAGCTGAATGTCAATCAGGCCTCATGTTTACATGTGGGCAGAATTCCTCTCTGACTCCCAGTCCAAATTCCCAGCAGCATGTGTGGTGAGCAGCAGTCTCAGCTCAGCCCAGGCTGTTCCAGACAGAGAGCCTGCTGCCTGTAGCAGACCTGGGCCCATGGGATAGGCCAGATGTGGGCCTGGCAAGTCAGATCAAGGCACAGTCCCACTGTTTGTGGTCTTTCATTCACGTGATTAGATTCTCTATACCTCCAGGAATGTATTTATTCTCCCTCCCCTAGGAAGGCTGGGCTCTGTGGTAGGGAAAATGGGGTCTTCCAAAGTAGAGGCCATCAATATTAATGTCCTGAGACTAACACGACTGTGAGTCTGTCTGACTGTTCATAGAAAACACCAACCAGCCAAGACAATATGGTTGAGAATACTGGGAATTATTCTCAGATTCTTGGGGTTTATGAAAATAGAAAATTTGGAGAAACGGGCGGTTGGTAAATATGCAGTAGTGGTTTTGTCTCTCAAAAACTAAATATATTTTCCCTGTATATTGCTGAAGACATCTGTTGTATAAGTTCAGTCTTGTTGATCCCAAATGTCTTCTGTTTCCAGATCCACAGAGAGAAGGAGACATTCTACCCTGTCCAGCCCTGCACAGATCCCACACTACAGGTGAAGACCACCATCCCAGAATGCACAGGTAAGAACGAGTCAAAATATGATGCCGTACTGTAGATGAGGATAACAGAACTTACATACATATCTGTTAGTCAAAGGAACTCTGTGTCTTCCAGGCAGCTTGTCAGGAGAATTTGTATTGACCATTTCCAGGCATGGCATTGCCAGTGTTGAGTTTATTTCTGTCAGGTAGTCACTAAGATAGAAAGGAGCAGAAATGAAGATTAGGAGGGTTGTCAGAGTTCCGGCGGTCCTTGCTTGGATCATGGAAGAGCACTTGCCAGAATGTAATTTGATTTCTGGAGGATCTCAGTTGGAAAGGCCAGGTTGTAACTTGATTTCAGAGGATTAAGATGTACTGTAGAGGAGAGAGCAGCGCTTTGTAGGAGGAGAGAGAGAGGCTTAGGGCATTTTCACACACAGTTCTGAGCTATAGTTCGAATCAGTTTGATTATTTGTTACGTTGTATTTTTTTCATTTGGTCCAGTTGTGTTCACATTGCCAAATGTCAAATGAACTAAAATGCTTAAACAAAAACACGTTCATGCAAGTCATTTGCTCATTTCGTTGTAGCCTATGCTGCCCAATGAGGCCTATGGAATCGCAATGGCCATTTTGCGCGCTCATATCTCAAAGCCATATCAAGTATCTCCGTTGTAGAATAGTTTCTATTGAGCTCAACATTTAGTTGAGGAATAAAAATGATACCTACAGAAAGCTAAGAACTATGATAGCAGTGGTTTCCTCGCAATTGGATAAAACAAATGTTATACAATCAGAACACTTTATTGTTTTGTTATCCTGGAGGGAAAAAAATCCTGGGAAATGAGAGAGAGTTGTTTGCTCCACACTGCAGCAGGCCCCAGTGAAACAGGTACATAGGCAGGCAGACATTTTCTTTACAGGAAACATGAGGATAAAGTTTCAACTTTTTGACCAAATCATGGTTTTAGCCTCCTAAAAAAATAAGACTTTTTGAGTAAGTTGACCATGTAGATAGAATATGCAGCTCACACGAATGTCACCAATTAAGATTTTAACTTGCACAGTCAAGTCAAAGGGTCGCAAAATGCAACTAAATAGTCGCAGTCTGGAGCCCTGAAATGGTAAGGTCATTGATGCAGATATGATGGGTATGGCATGGCACTGCTTTCTTTTAATCGTATCCCTACTGTACCATGTGTCCCTTCGATATCAATGCACCCCATTTGGTTGGCAGGCCAGGCATGCAGCACATTGTGCAGCTTAGGAACAAGGCTACCCTACCTCTACTACCTTTGATGTTTGAAGAAGATAGCTTATGTAGCTCATATTTCATATGATTTAGACTACTGTTCACATCTGTGCAGAGATCAGTTGTCATCATAGCTTAAAAAGATCTCTGCATCTCTGTATCTTGTGTTTCTAATATGCTCTTCCCTTCGCTTAAGGCAACTTTCACTTCCACTGTTCCACTGGTTGCTGGGCCAAACAATGACAAAACAACAACCCACTCATACAGTATACTCATATAGAATAACATCCTTCCTGACAAAAAAAAATAGCTAATCTTTTTTATTAACTGACGTCAACATCCTGCCCAAAAGGATTGCAACTAGCGATGCAATGATGTTTTGCAGCACATTTTTCTTACTAATCATTTGACTGTGTTGTGATCAAAGTGGTGTATCTGGCACAATTCTATTAGAAAATGTATGTTGTGACCTTGCGTTTTGATATTGAAAAATCGGATTGTATTTTAAAGCCTGTTGATATGTACTGCATTGCCATGGCAAATATCTGACACTAATCTTAATACCAATTTTCTCTTTCCCAGAATTCCAAGTATCCCCATGCTCTGAGAGTGTTGGAGGCTCTGTGTCGACCACTGGTGCCCTGCAGGACTCAGTCAGTGATGTGGACAGTCTGGGAGAGGACAGTATCTTCAGAAAGGTGAGATCAGCACACTGAACCGAGACACTCCCTTTATAGTTACAACACCGTCGAAGAAGAAGATTAAGCCTGTGTCTTGAGTGGCTATGACATGATAGCATACGAGTATATTATAAGTCAGTTCTCCTATAAAACCAACAACATGGTCTATCACTTTATGTTGTATGTTTCTGGTGATATAGTTCCATATAATTCCCAGCACCTCTGTTCGTTAGTGTATGTTTTGGCCTCTGGCCCCCACCTCCAGACCACAGCAGACTGGTCAGCTTCCCTGTTCCATGTGACATCAGCAGGCTCCCATGAGCACTCTTTCCCGGGCCAGCAAACTCATTATGACCTCATCCCCCTCGCTCGCTCTTTACCGCCCTTCCTCCCCTGCCCTGCCCCCCAACCTTTTTTCAACATTTACACACACTTGGAGGGTGGCTGAGGCATAATGGCACTCCAATGCCATTTCACACTACAGCCTTGGCTTCAAAGGCTTTGGTTTCTCTGCCCTCGTGAGGTCCTCTCTTCTCCAGGCATCTCCTTACTGTAACTTCAGCTCACTCTCTAGGTTACATTTTTTCATTTCATTTGGCTGTGTTTTTATATGTTTATGTAAAAAAAAAAAAAAAGTAAGTTCATCAATAGTCAAATGTAAGAAACATCAACATATGTTTTCTTCTAGAGTAACTACATACAATACAGTGCCTTCAGAAAGTATCAATTCCCCTTGACTTATTCCACATTTTGTTGTTACAGCCTGAATTCAAAATGGATTAAAAAATGCAAAATCTCACCCATCTGCACACAATACCCCATAATGGAAACATGTTTTTAGAAATGTCTGCTAATTTATTGAAATATCTAATTTACGTAAATATTCATACCCCTGAGTCGATACATGTTAGAATCAACTTTGGCAGCGATTACAGCTGTAAGTCTTTCAGGGTATGTCCCGTGTATCTCAGTTGGTAGAGCATGGCACTTGCCATGCCAGGGTTGTGGGTTCGTTTACCACGGGGGGGGGCAGTATGAAAATGTATGCACTCACTAACTGTAAGTCGCTCTGGATAAGAGCGTCTGCTAAATGACTAAAATGTAAAATGTCTTTAAGAGCTTTGCACACCTGGATTGTACAAGTATACTTTTTGGGGGGATTTTGCCTTATGCTAAGCTGATATTGAATTGTTTTAAGATGGTCATACTATGGATAATTTAGCTATTTGATTTAGAATTTTAGGACACCTTTAGGTATACATTTTTTTGGGGGGGATACAGTGGGGGAAAAAAGTATTTAGTCAGCCACCAATTGTGCAAGTTCTCCCACTTAAAAAGATGAGAGAGGCCTGTAATTTTCATCATAGGTACACGTCAACTATGACAGACAAAATGAGAATTTTCTTTCCAGAAAATCACATTGTAGGATTTTTAATTAATTTATTTGCAAATTATGGTGGAAAATAAGTATTTGGTCAATAACAAAAGTTTCTCAATACTTTGTTATATACCCTTTGTTGGCAATGACACAGGTTAAACGTTTTCTGTAAGTCTTCACAAGGTTTTCACACACTGTTGCTGGTATTTTGGCCCATTCCTCCATGCAGATCTCCTCTAGAGCAGTGATGTTTTGGGGCTGTCGCTGGGCAACACGGACTTTCAACTCCCTCCAAAGATTTTCTATGGGGTTGAGATCTGGCTAGGCCACTCCAGGACCTTGAAATGCTTCTTACGAAGCCACTCCTTCGTTGCCCGGGCGGTGTGTTTGGGATCATTGTCATGCTGAAAGACCCAGCCACGTTTCATCTTCAATGCCCTTGCTGATGGAAGGAGGTTTTCCCTCAAAATCTCACGATACATGGCCCCATTCATTCTTTCCTTTACACGGATCAGTCGTCCTGGTCCATTTGCAGAAAAACAGCCCCAAAGCATGATGTTTCCACCCCCATGCTTCACAGTAGGTATGGTGTTCTTTGGATGCAACTCAGCATTCTTTGTCCTCCAAACACGACGAGTTGAGTTTTTACCAAAAAGTTATATTTTGGTTTCATCTGACCATATGACATTCTCCCAATCCTCTTCTGGATCATCCAAATGCACTCTAGCAAACTTCAGACGGGCCTGGACATGTACTGGCTTAAGCAGGGGGACACGTCTTGGACTGCAGGATTTGAGTCCCTGGCGGCGTAGTGTGTTACTGATGGTAGGCTTTGTTACTTTGGTCCCAGCTCTCTGCAGGTCATTCACTACGTCCCCCCGTGTGGTTCTGGGATTTTTGCTCACCGTTCTTGTGATCATTTTGACCCCACGGGGTGAGATCTTGCGTGGAGCCCCAGATCGATGGAGATTATCAGTGGTCTTGTATGTCTTCCATTTCCTAATAATTGCTCCCACAGTTGATTTCTTCAAACCAAGCTGCTTACCTATTGCAGATTCAGTCTTCCCAGCCTGGTGCAGGTCTACAATTTTGTTTCTGGTGTCCTTTGACAGCTCTTTGGTCTTGGCCATAGTGGAGTTTGGAGTGTGACTGTTTGAGGTTGTGGACAGGTGTCTTTTATACTGATAACAAGTTCAAACAGGTGCCATTAATACAGGTAACGAGTGGAGGACAGAGGAGCCTCTTAAAGAAGAAGTTACAGGTCTGTGAGAGCCAGAAATATTGCTTGTTTGTAGGTGACCAAATACTTATTTTCCACCATAATTTGCAAATAAATTCATAAAAAATCCTACAATGTGATTTTCTGGAAATCTTTTTCTCAATTTGTCTGTCATAGTTGACGTGTACCTATGATGAAAATTACAGGCCTCTCTCATCTTTTTAAGTGGGAGAACTTGCACAATTGGTGGCTGACTAAATACTTTTTTTCCCCCACTGTATAATATTGATTTTGGCCTTTACTACTAAAGCCCATAGAAACACATTGAATAACACATCCATAAATGGCTAAAAGGACAAAGAATAAATAATAAGTGTCTGTCCTAAATCTAGGAGATATAAAAACAACTCAGGAAATATAGATATATAATATAGATTCGTTTTTTTACATATACACTACCGGTTTATTGAAATGCATTCCAGGTGACTACCTCATGAAGCTGGTTGAGAGAATGCCAAGAGTGTACAAAGCTGTCATCTAGGCAAAGGGTGGCTATTTGTAGAATCTCAAATATAAAATATATTTTGATTTGTTTAACACTTTTTGGTTACTACATGATTCCATATGTGTTATGTCATAGTTTTGACTTCTTCACTATTCTACAATGTAGAAAATAGTAAAAATTAAGAAAAACCCTTGAATGAGTAGATGTTCTAAAACTTTTGACTGGTAGTATATTTATCCCCTTTTTTTGGGTAGTCACAAAACTACCTTCATGCTTCCATCAGTTTTTTAAAACTGGTACCGGTTACCTTCAGTCAAGTCCTGTGACAGTTGTAGGGGTCATAGAGCGGAGAACACCATCGTGTTAATGAGAATCTCCCCTTTCCACAATGGGGTCCCATTAGTTTGTAGCCCAAACAGTTCGGACGCTACCAAACAGAAGTTGGCACATCGACGGTACTGACTTCAGACGAGTCTTCTGACACTTGTGGGGGTTGTAGAGAAAAAAATGGTGTAGGTCAAACCGTTCGAACGCTACAGACGTTTTCGTGAGAATACCTATTTTCGGGTTGTCTCATGGTCTGACAAACACCGCTCTAGCTCTGCCACCTTTCACTGCAGATGCAGAAGTGTGACACTGGCGGATGCAGTGTATTGAGACACATCCAATAATAAAACGTAAACGGACAGATTTTGATGGGGATGTTTTTGCTATGTAATTTAGATTGACGCACCGCACCGGTGCATCAATCCACTCTAAGGGGTTAAACACTATTATTGCACACAGAGTGAGTTCATGCAACTTATTATGTGACATGTTAGGCAAAGTTTTACTACTGAACTTATTTAGGCTTACGATAACAAAGGGGTTGAATACTTATTGACTCAAGACATAAATTTAAAAAAGTAATAATAATTAGCATTTCCAAAAAAAATATTCCACTTTAACATTATGGGGTATTGTGTGTAGGCCAGTGACAGAAAAATCTAAATTTAATCCATTTTAAATTCAGGCTGTAACACAACAAAATGTGAAGAGGTCAAGGGGTGTGAACTTTCTGAAGGCACTCTAACTCCCCTCTAACTACTCCCAGACCAGTCTCTGCCTCTCCGCCTCTGGTGTTGAGGTCTGTCATTATGCAATAGATTTTGAATGTTCGAGTGAACTCAGCACTTTGGACAGACACAGCCAGTCAATGACCAAAAAAGGACCTGTTACATTAAACTTTCATTACTCAAAGGCCCTTTAAAACGATCCTCCAAATCAATTTATTTTAGCTATGTTTTGAACTGTGTCTTTGTGTGTGTGCGTGACTGCATGTGAGTCCTGTAGTCAAGGTTATTTTAGTGGTTATTAAATGTGATTTAATGTTAGTTTTTAGATTTTATTTGAAATACATTTTAGTTTGTTTAGTTTTCAGACTTGATTTACTAGTTATTATTTTATAAAAACATTTATATTTCTGTTTTAGTGTTAGGGACAGAAAGTAGCCTATGCGTGGGAGGCTATGAGCCATTTATGTGTTGTAGGCCTACAGTTTTTTTGGGGGGGATGTCACTTCTTGCCACTGAGGGACCATAGACTTGGATAAACATAACATCTCTGTATCTCTGTCATGATGGCATCTGTGAGCGCCTGGGCATTGCCATTGACACCATCTTCATCTTGAAATAGTAAATGTTCTTCTTCACAAGTAAAATTCATTGGCTGATCCCTCCTGCCACAACTCCAACCGGGTCATCAGGTCATTCCAACTGGGTCATCAAGAGGGATCAGCCAACAAAGTTGACTAAATCAAAATGGCGAAAGTCCTCAATGGCGCTGCCCATGCTAACACAGGCTTTTGGCCACTGGAGGACTCCATACAACTCCATGGCCAGGACATAGGTTTGGTTTAAATTATAAATCAATCCTAATGTGACTGATGTAAAGGATAAGCGCCTAGACTGGTGCAAGAAATATGATGGATGGAAACTCTCTTGCCCATGTTTACACAAATCCAATGCTTTTTTAACTTTAGTAGTAGAATAATAATCAAGTACCTTTACCTTTATCTGACAGAAAGAGATGGGAAAAAACAACAAATGAAGTCATGGCACATTTGACATGTTATGTTTATGTAATATTAAGCGTATCACTGACTAACCCCTTCAAATAGAGTTAATAATAACAGCTGCAACAACAGCAAAAACATAAGCAATACAACACTTCTTCACAAATCTATTAGTTCACAGCCAGCCTGTGTGTGTGTTTCTCTGTTCAAACAAGCAAGATTTTCTGGTTTGTCTTCAAGAAGATTCTGATTTCCAGAAAGATGGTTGTTTGGTTTATCAAGCCTGATGACAGTTGTCCACAAACAGAGAATACTCTCTCCACGAACACTGCAGGGGTAGAAACAAGATCCAGTGCCACAGAGCACAGCTTTGATAAACAGCCATCCTTGCCTGCCAGACCTGGAGAGGTGACTCTGTCAACATGCCCCCCTTTACCTCTTCCAGGTATTTCAGCAGATCGCACTTAATGCCCTGCCAGGTTGACCCTCCAGCTGGACAGTGACCTCAGACACAATCTTCAATGCAAGGAAGCTATATTTCTGAAGCACTGTGGTTGAGATGCTTGCTGGATTCATCGTGCTGGCATCTTCCTGGGGTCCTGCTGCTCCACGGCTGTACTTTCTGTTTTGCTAAAGTACAAAATACTTTGCGTCCCTCAACAGTGGCTCCATCTCTGTTGAGCGAAGTGCCAGAGACACACTTGGGTCCATGAGGCAAGTTAATGCAGGGGTTGGATCGAAGTTCACTGCCAGGGGATTCAGTATGCATGCGCTCACGCAGTGACTTCAGGAGTACCTGTGCCAACTGTTTGCAACAGTAGTTGACTGCAAGTGTGCCTCAAGGTTGACAAGGCAAGTCACCACATCAGACAGCGACTGGCTGTCAGTTTGAAGTTAGTTGGGTTGAATTGCGAACGGCTCCAGCAACTTCACAAGATGTTCTAGCTTGGCCCAGTTACGCTCCGTGCTCGCCCTCAGATTTCTTCTCTGTTAGCTAGTGATAGCTAGTGATAGTGATGCACAAGCTAAGCCTATTTGAAACATCAGCATCTACTGGCAGCATTTACACACCAGATTCAGAAGCTCAAAAATCCCATTTAAAAAAAAGCTGGAAAACCCCTTTAGATTTTTGCCCAAAGTGTAGAAGAAAAAAACTCAACATAATTTATGATGGTTTTTATTTTATTGTAGTTAGTTTTGCAGTCAAATAGAATAGTTTCAGTATAGTTTTCTTTTTTCAAGTTTACCAAATCGTTTTTCAAATTTTAGTTTTTATTTTATTTTCAGTCTTCGTTTACTATAATAACCTTGCCTGTAGGTGTGTGTTTGTGTAGACAGCGTTAGCTGGTTGACTGCTGCTCTGCTGCATGAGCTCAGGAAGGGTGAGTCATTTGTTCTGGAAGCTGATATTCCATGGCCTGGTCCTCATAAAGGGGCCTGCATGATTATGCTCTGAGCCACTGTGGCAGTCCGTTAGCTCACCACCCGCCCGCACGCCCAGTGCTGGCACTACTGGATAATGTAAAAACTAATGACACAGTCCCAATGGAAATCATCTGCAGCCTGCCTGCCTGCTGGCCTCCCTAAAGGGTGTGTGTGTGTTTCTGTTGTTCTGTAACCTTTATAGGGCTGGAAAGAACTCTCTCTCCCAGCAGCATGTCTCTCTCTCACTGCCTTGCCCTTTCTCCTCGCCACACTGAAGGCTACAGTAAGCTCAGACTAAAGGCAGCTCAGACCGGTCATCATCAGGCCTAACCTCACTGGCCTGGCATGTGTGAAGTAAAAGCCTGGGCCCTGGGAGGCATACGAGACAGGACATTAAGTCAAAACGGACTACTTTGACAATAGCTACAGATTTATTTAGCTTTCACCCCTTTAGCATAATTTATGTTTTTAGCTTTGTTTTTGGTGTAAAACGTAATGCTCCTTACCCAAATGTGTTAGCTGAAATGTGTAATTCCAAATCCTACCACAATGCCATTCAGTTTACTTTGACTCCAGTGGGTAACAGGCTCTTTCTGTATCCTCTCTGTCCCCAGGGAGAGGAGGCTGTGACTGGGCCAAGGGATAGCACCAGCGGTGTGTCGGTGTCCTTCTCCTCCATAGACGACGTGACCAGTGTGGGTCCCCTCAGCGCCAGCTCCCAGTGCAGTGTGGGTCCTCTCAGCGCCAGCTCCCAGTGCAGTGTGGGTCCTCTCAGTGTCTCCTCCCAGGGCAGAGTGGGCTCTCCTTGGGCTGGGGCGGGGGCAGGGGTGTTGAGCACTAGGGCCAGTTGGAGTGCTGGAGACGCCTGGCAGATGACAGTTGGGGGGGTAGAGGAGGAGGAGAGGAAAGACAAGCTGACAGAGGGGCCTGTAGGCTCCGCCATCCTACGCTCCTCTATCCGCTCGCTCTCTCCGTTCCGCCGGCACAGCTGGGGCCCGGGGAAGAATCCTGCAGGAGAGACAGACATGAACCAACGCAGGTGAGTCCTCTTAACCCCACACACTGACCTCTAACCCAACACACTCACTACCCTATAGTACATACCCAGGAAGGATAGCTATGGATGGATGGTGAAAAGTAATCATCTGTGTGAACAATAAGCCTCCAACTCCTACAGTATACTGAGTTGTCCTCAGTATGATGATATCTATTGGGGAGTCACTTGAGACAGTAGTACCCTGGGAAGTGCAGTCTGCAGGGATGAGACTAGGACAGAGACAGGCTCCCCGAGGACTGGTCCTCATACGGCCTCAAGTTCAGACACTGTGTTTGTGTGTCAGTGGACCACTGTTTGTGTGTGTGTGTGTGTGTGCACGTGTGTGTGTAGATATTTGTCTCTGTGTGTATTTGATCCATGGTTGTCCCTCAGGGGGCCTATATACAGTACAGTTAGATATGCCTGGAGCCACCTCTGTGTCAGTGGACTTTGTGGGAAAGGCCTGTCCAGGTCAAAGGTTAAACACTGACCGCTGACCTCAGTAAACAGCTGTGTGAGAAGTACTGTACTATTACTCCTCTGACCATTATCAATAATTATTCTCAATATTTCAGTCTGTAAGACATATTACCCAGGGGCTTGAATAGCCTTTGTATCAATTATTTTTATTGGCACCTTTTCCTTCTTATTCATTATCACCCATTTGATCATGTTCTGTACTGTCAGTGCTCTCATCTCTCTCTGTCCATCCCTTATTTTCTGTCCTCTGCTCATCTCTCCATCTCTTCTCAGTTCATTGCAAGGTCAAGGGGAAGGGAAGCCTCGAAAGCCAACATTTCATAGGAGAAGGTACCACACAGTTATTTCTCAATGTTTCCATTCTGACTCTCCATGGTGTGTCACTGCCAAGCTGTGTTTTCATTACGGGAAGAAAATGTAAAACGTATTGCTACCTATATTGAGCACTCCCTAATCAAATCAAATTTTATTTTAAGTGTCTTATGCTATGGAAAAATCATTTCTAAAACAGTATGAAGAATGAAGACAGTGGAAACTAACTTTAAATGGTTTATTTCTCTCCAATATAATAATAATCAAGCCACTCCGATGGAAAAATACTTTCACCATTAACCCACCACTTTTACCTTTGACCATCACATCTCACCCTGAAATAACGTCACACTTTCCCTGCTGCTCCTGTACCTGTCTGTCTCTCTCCTCTCCCCCTCTCCCCCCCTCCTCTCCTCTCCTCTCCACTCCCCTTCTCTCCTGTCCCTTTCCAACCCTCTCCCTCCCTGGCTTCTCCCTGCTAGTATGAGCTGGTGTCCCTCCAACGTCCCCCCTCCCCACCCGGAACAGATTGATAGCAGAAGGTATGCCATCACCGTGTGTCAACTAATAGCCTAAAAAGACAAACACGGATAAACATGAAAGAAATAAAAAGAGAGGAAGAAGCCTCTGCATGTTCTATGCTCTGTGCATGTCTGTCTCTGGCTTGGTCTGTCTCTGGCTTGGTCTGTCTCTGGCTTGGTCTGTCTCTGGCTTAGTGTGTCTCTGGCTTGGTCTGTCTCTGGCTTGGTCTGTCTCTGGCTTGGTCTGTCTCTGGCTTGGTCTGTCTCTGGCTTGGTCTGTCTCTGGCTTGGTGTGTCTCTGGCTTGGTCTGTCTCTGGCTTGGTCTGTCTCTGGCTTGGTCTGTCTCTGGCTTGGTCTGTCTCTGGCTTGGTCTGTCTCTGGCTTAGTCTGTCTCTGGCTTGGTCTGTCTCTGGCTTGGTGTGTCTCTGGCTTGGTGTGTCTCTGGCTTGGTGTGTCTCTGGCTTGGTGTGTCTCTGGCTTGGTGTGTCTCTGGTTTGGTGTGTCTCTGGTTTGGTCTGTCTTTGGCTTGGTCTGTCTCTGGCTTGGTGTGTCTCTGGCTTGGTCTGTCTTTGGCTTGGTCTGTCTCTGGCTTGGTGTGTCTCTGGTTTGGTGTGTCTCTGGCTTGGTGGTGTCTCTGGCTTGGGTGTGTCTCTGGCTTGGTGTGTCTCTGGCTTGGTGTGTCTCTGGCTTGGTGTGTCTCTGGCTTGGTGTGTCTCTGGCTTGGTGTGTCTCTGGCTTGGTGTGTATTTTGTCACTGCTGCTGTTGCTCTCTCTTTGTCTCATTCACCTTGTTGGTCAGTTGTGGTCGACCTCAGAGATGCACAGTCACTTATCTTTTGCCTCTCTCTCTCTCTCTCTCCTCCTCTCTCCTTCCTCTCTCCTCCTCTTCCTCCTCTCCTCTCTCTCCTCCTCCCTCTCTCTCTCTCCCTCTCTCTCTCATCTCCTCTCTCTCTCCTCCTCTCTCTCGCTCTCTTGAGACAAGGAAGCTAGAATTTAGAGAGGAAGCATCAAGCATCTTTAGAACAATAGTATTATACTGCTACACTGCTAGTTAACTACTGCAAAGATTAGAATGACTAATATAATCATCATCATCAGTGAGCCAGACAGGTGAGTTATGGTTTTAGTTCAGTTCATCTCGCTTAGCCAGACTTACAGCTTCAGTGAGAGGACCGCTAGAATGAGGTTATAGGTCTGTTGTACTCTAATACTGAATGCTGATTTGTTATGCATTCATCATTTACATAAGTATGGTCTCAAATGAGTTTATTTGTTGTCTATTATTTAACATGAATTACAATTGTTCTGTTGTCTTAAATTTGCTACACTTTTTAATCAAGTAAACAATGTTGTTTAACTGATTGAAGCTTGGGGAATTTTATTTTTATGTTTATTTTATTTAAGTTATTTCCCCCTTACATTTGTGTTTAGGTTTACATGTACAGTTGAAGTCGGAAGTTTACTTACACCTTAGCCAAATACATTTCAACTCAGTTTTTCACTATTCCTGACATTTAATCCTAGTACAAATTCCCTGTCTTTGGTAAGTTAGGATCACCACTTTATTTTAAGAATGTGAAATGTCAGAATAATAGTAGAGAGAATTATTTATTTCAGCTTTTATTATATATCACATTCCCAGTGGGTCAGAAGTTTACATACACTCAATTAGTATTTGGTAGCATTGCCTTTAAATTGTTTAACTTGGGTCAAACGTTTCGGGTAGCCTTCCACAAGCTTCCCACAATAAGTTGGGTGAATTTTGGCCCATTCCTCCTGACAGAGCAGGTGTAACGGAGTCAGGTTTGTAGGCCTCCTTGCTCGCACATGCTTTTTCAGTTCTGCCCACACATTTTCTGTAGGATTGAGGTCAGGGCTTTGTGATGGCCACTCCAATACCTTGACTTTGTTGTCCTTAAGCCATTTTGCCACAACTTTGGAAGTATGCTTGGGGTCAATGTCCATTTGGAAGACCCATTTGCGACCAAGCTTTAACTTCCTGACTGATGTCTTGAGATGTTGCTTCAATATATCCACATCATTTCCCTTCCTCATGATGCCATCTATTTTGTGTCAAGTTTTCAAGATATTAGACTTTCAAGAAGTGCAAAACGCATCATCATCATGATGTGGCAAGTGACACTTTGCTTCTTGAAAATGGTATATCTTCAAAATTTGACTGCTGACATATAAAACATTTTGGGACTGTATCAACAGTGGACTAATGTAAAAAATTACAAAAGATTGTTACAAAAGTGTGTATATGTGCATGTACGTACTTGTGCATTCCACTTGTGTAGTTTCAGTTTTGAAATAACTGATTGTATCATCTGTCTGGAGCATGAAGATCTGCTGGGTGTGAATTCACTTCCTGCCTGTGGTTTAAAGATCTCACAGGGTGTTTGTATCTACTGTCCCTAAACAAATTACCACATCTATCACCAGAAACACCAGTAGAGTGTTCTTTCACTAACACAGTATTGTTGTGTCTGCAGTTACAGTTTGGAGGGTCTGGCTGGAGAGGAGGATACTGGGAAGGTCTCCTCTGGTGTGGGGACCGTTGCACGTCTGGACAGTGAGGAGAGGGGCTCGCTTCTGTCCCTAACAGAGGAGCAGGAGTCAGACCTGGGAGACTGCAGCAGCCTCTACAGCCAGGTAACCCTCACACACTATACTGTCCAGACGTATCTTTACCATAGAGGTCCTGTGTTTTGCTTGCACAATGAATTGCACTTGCACTGAACCGCTGAATCTTTGTACCATCCCATGTAGACTGGTGCTCTCTATGCACAGTAGTTTAATTCATGTTTTATTTTCACTCAGACAGCTTACTGATCTCTCTCTCGCTCTCCTTTATTTCAGAAATCAGGAAGAGTTCTGCCTATGAGACACAGCTGTCCCTCCATTCCTTACCAAGCGCTCACCAAGTCGGTGTCCATGCTGGCCATCAGTCACAGAGACCTGGACGGTGAGGGTCACTTTAACACACTCTCTCTCTCTCTCTCTCTCTCTCTCTCTCTCTCTCTCTCTCTCTCTCTCTCTCTCTCTCTCTCTCTCTCTCTCTCTCTCTCTCTCTCTCTCTCGACATGGTGGTACACAAGGCCAGGGTCTCAGAGTAGGAGTGCCGATCTAGGATCAGTTTAGCCTTTTAGATCATTATGAATAAGATTATATGGACAGATCCTAGATCAGCACTCCTTCTCTGAAATGCCCAGGCCTCTATCCAACAATCAAGTCTCCTATCACCTGCTGTTTCCAACCTCGTCCTACAGGTCCATTTTCTCTCTGTCTCTCTGCTGTGTTTCCCAGACAGGAACATAATCCAATCAGGTGGTTTGTTCACTCTCTTAATCCCAATCGTCTCTGGAGCTAACGGGGGCTACTGTTACAGCTTCTCCTGTGTAGGGTTCACTTGATCACTTGGAAGGGAATGAGGGTCAGCCCAGGTTCTTGTGCTAATTTAACATGTGATTTGATGTCTTTTGTACCCTTGAACTGGATAGCGAGTGGACGGACTCGACCAAAGAGGCGCATCTCCTTCTCCTTCAGCATCTCTCCGACCTTCCCAAAATCTAGAACATTATTTTCTATTGGCTCTTCCTCCAGTGATGAGGAGGATGTAGTGAGTAAGTTCTACAGTTCCCAGAATGCCCTGAGTGGCCCCTTAGCCCCGGCTGCTTCCTGTGTAGTGTGCCTCTACGTCAACCTGTGTCACTAAACGGACGTTACCTCTCTCTAAATCAACTCTTTTAAATCAATTAATCTCTGTTTGGTCCCCTACCCTTAACAGGGTTAACATTGTCAGGCAAATAATTTGGTTTGCTAAAATATCAATCAGTACAAGTCATTGTTTCTAAACAAATAACTTACACAGGGTCAAATCACCTCTAGTCACTAATGCAAATCTCAACAGGTGATGAAATATGCACTGTTTGTTGTTCTGTATATGTGAAGTTTCAAGCAAAGCCCTCTGCAGTCCAGTCAGCCTATGAAATATCTGCTGGAGATGCATGAAAACCCAGAATCTAACTGAGATCAAATAATCTGCTTTCTGTTAGCATAGTAGCCCCTTTTTTACAGTAGCCCTTTTTCTATTGTATTTGACATGGCTGACATGCCTATTATGTCCCTCCTGTGAGTTTTCACACATTTCTCCCATCTTTTTTCTCCATTAGTTATATTTATTCCCCCTAGCCTCCATTCTTTGAAATCCACATAAACACATTTCAAAGTGTTCCTTTTAGGCTTCACAGCTGCTAAAAAGGACAGGAACATTTCACTGCTGCCTTCGCGCTCCTTTGAGCCTTGTAAGAATGGCTTGTATATTATTTTGGAGAGAACGAAAGGAAGAAAATCCCGTTCCGGGCCGTTACTGGAGGATGACGTCTCAAAGGGCTTTCGCTGCTCTGGCGTGTCATATCTACAGTTTAAGAGCTGTAAGAGGTTTTGCCTGGCAGTTTTTGAAAATGTCTCTGTGTTTGTCATGGGATATGTGTCTTATTGAGCTTTGTTGTAGGTCTGAGGCTGAGTTTCAGTGCTGTCTGGCCCCCAGTAAATCTCTTTATTAATGGCTGCCCTTGACTACTACTGTATGTGTATGCTGCCTTATCATCACATTCCTTTTTGTATGTATTTGTTGGACTTGTTGTTAATTGGCCATGTCTTTAACCAAATTACCCAGTGTGAAATTCCACCTTTAACCTGTCCCACCAGGTACCCACTGGTTCTGTTGGATGTTTGTACTACCACGTGTTATGTGATATCACCTCTGCTTGGAAATGTATTGTAATGGTTATGTAACATGTAATGTTTACTTGTACTGAACCACAATACTGATAAAAGTACATAAACTCAGCCAAAAAATAAACGTCCTCTCACTGTCAACTGCGTTTATTTTCAGCAAACTTAACATGTGTAAATATTTGTATGAACATAACAAGATTCAACAACTGAGATATAAACTGGACAAGTTTCACAGACATGTGACTAACAGAAATTGAATAATGTGTCCCTGAACAAAGGGGGTGCAAAATCAAAAGTAACAGTCAGTATCTGGTGTGGCCACCTGCTGCATTAAGTACTGCAGTGCATCTCCTCCTCGTGGACTGCACCAGATTTGCCAGTTCTTGCTGTGAGATGTTACCCCACTCTTCCACCAAGGCACCTGCAAGTTCCCTGACATTTCTGGGGGGAATGGCCCTAGCCCTCACCCTCCGATCCAACAGATCCCAGACATGCTCAATGGGATTGAGATCCGGGCTCTTCGCTGGCCATGGCAGAACACTGACATTCCTGTCTTGCAGGAAATCATGCACAGAGCAAGCAGTATGGCTGTTGGCATTGTCATGCTGGAGGGTCATGTCAGGATGAGCCTGCAGGAAGGGTACCACATGAGGGAGGAGGATGTCTTCCCTGTAACGCACAGCGTTGAGATTGCCTGCAATGACAACAAGCTCAGTCTGATGATGCTGTGACACACTGCCCCAGACCATGACGGACCCTCCACCTCCAAATCGATCCCGCTCCAGAGTACAGGCCTCGGTGTAACGCTCATTCTTTCAACGATAAACGCGAATCCGACCATCACCCCTGGTGAGACAAAACCGCGACTCGTCAGTGAAGAGCACTTTTTGCCAGTCCTGTCTGGTCCAGCGACGGTGGGTTTGTGCCCATAGGCGACGTTGTTGCCGGTGATGTCTGGTGAAGACCTGCCTTACAACAGGCCTACAAGCCCTCAGTCCAGCCTCTCTCAGCCTATTGCGGACAGTCTGAGCACTGATGGAGGGATTGTGCGTTCCTGGTGTAACTCGGGCAGTTGTTGTTGCCATCCTGTACCTGTCCTGCAGGTGTGATGTTCGGATGTACCGATTCTGTGCAGGTGTTGTTACACAATGTCTGCCACTGCGAGGATGATAAGCTGTCCGTCCTGTCTCCCTGTAGCGCTGTCTTAGGCGTCTCACAGTACGGACATTGCAATTTATTGCCCTGGCCACAGGGCCTCCTTGCAGCATGCCTAAGGCACGTTCACGCAGATGAGCAGGGATCCTGGGCATCTTTCTTTTGGTGTTTTTCAGAGTCCGTAGAAAGGCCTCTTTAGTGTCCTAAGTTTTCATAACTGTTGTCAGTTTGGCACCGATGTGGATGTGATGAGGAGTCAGGCGCAGGACACAGAGGTTTAGTCCAACAAACTTTACTATAGTAAAGTGAACAATAATCACTACACGACCTCGAAATACAGAGGCGAGAAACAGTACGCAACATGCGTAAAACAAAACATGTAGAGCGCAAAACACACAGCTCAAACGACACGCGGACAACAACACACAATATAACTAACACAAAACAGGGAACTTATAGGACACGTAATTAGGACACAAACAGACACAGGTGTACCAGACAGACCAAAGCAATCAACACACGAAACATACAACGGTGGCAGCTAGTATTCCGGGGACGGCGAACGCCGAAGCCTGCCCGAACCAGGAGGAGGAGCAGCCTCGGCCGAAACGTGACAGTACCCCCCCCTTGACGCGCGGCTCCAGCCGTGCGCCGACCCCGGTCTCGGGGACGGCCAGGAGGACGCGGACCCGGGCGCGTGGGATGCCCACGGTGGAACTCTGTCAGGAGGGATGGGTCGAGGATGTCCCTCCTAGGCACCCAGCACCGTTCCTCCGGACCGTACCCCTCCCACTCCACGAGATACTGGAGACCACTCCTCCGGCGCCTCGAGTCCAATATAGTCCGGACCCTGTACGCCGGTGCCCCCTCGATGTCCAAAGGGGGTGGAGGGGTCTCTCCTATCTCCTCCTCTTGGAGTGGACCAGCTACCACCGGCCTGAGAAGAGACACATGGAACGAGGGGTTAATATTTTTGTACTCAATAGGCAGTTGTAATCTGTAACACACCTCGTTCAATCTTCTCAGGACTTTGAAGGGCCCCACAAACCGCCGACCCAGCTTCCGGCAGGGCAGGCGGAGGGGCAGGTTTCGAGTCGAGAGCCAGACTCGATCTCCCGGTGCGTACACCGGCCCCTCACTGCGGTGGCGATCGGCGCTCGCCTTGTGTTGACGGATGGCACGCTGCAGATGGACATGGGCAGCGTCCCACGTCTCCTCCGAGCGCCGAATCCACTCGTCCACCGCAGGGGCCTCGGTCTGGCTCTCGTGCCACGGTGCCAGGACCGGCTGATACCCTAAAATACACTGGAAAGGTGTTAATCCGGTGGAGGAGTGGCGGAGAGAGTTCTGGGCCATCTCTGCCCAGGGGATATACCTCGACCACTCCTCCGGCCGGTCCCGGCAATAGGACCTCAAAAACCTACCCACATCCTGGTTCACACGTTCAACCTGCCCATTGCTCTCTGGGTGGTACCCCGAGGTAAGGCTAACCGAGACCCCCAGGCGTTCCATGAACGCCCCCCAGACTCTGGAGGTGAACTGGGGACCTCGGTCGGACACAATATCCTCGGGGACCCCATAGTGCCGGAACACGTGGGTAAAGAGGGCCTCGGCGGTCTGTAGGGCAGTAGGGAGACCCGGCAGTGGGAGGAGACGACAGGCCTTAGAAAACCGATCCACAACGACCAAAATGGTGGTATTACCCTGGGAAGGGGGTAGATCGGTCACAAAATCCACCGAGAGGTGGGACCATGGTCGTTGTGGAACGGGCAGAGGATGTAACTTACCCCTGGGCAAATGTCTAGGTGCCTTACACTGGGCACACACCGAGCAGGAGGAGACATAAACCCTCACATCCCTGGCTAACGTTGGCCACCAGTATTTCACGCTAAGGCAGTGCACCGTCCGACCAATACCAGGATGTCCAGAGGAGGGTGATGTATGAGCCCAAGAAATAAGCCGATCACGAACCTCGAGCGGAACGTACGTCCGCCCCACAGGACACTCGGGGGGAGTAGGGTCGGTACGCAGCGCCCGCTCGATTTCCGTATCGACCTCCCATACTACCGGAGCCACCAGACAAGACTCCGGCAGTATGGAAGTAGGCTCAATGGACCTCTCCTCTGTGTCATACTGCCGGGACAGGGCGTCTGCCTTACCGTTCTGGGACCCAGGGATGTATGTGATCTTAAAAACAAACCGGGTCAGGAACATGTTCCACCTAGCCTGACGAGGGTTCAATCTCCTAGCTGCCCGGATGTACTCCAGGTTACGGTGATCAGTCAGAATGAGGAAAGGGTGTTGAGCCCCCTCAAGCCAATGCCTCCACACCTTTAGGGCCTGGACTACAGCTAACAGCTCCCTGTCCCCAACGTCATAATTGCGCTCCGCCGAGCTGAGCTTCTTAGAGTAGAACGCACAGGGGCGGAGCTTAGGTGGCGTGCCGGACCGTTGTGACAGGACTGCCCCAATACCGGTCTCGGACGCGTCCACCTCTACTTGGAAAGGCAAAGAGGGATCCGGATGCGCCAGCACCGGGGCCGAGACGAACAGGTTCTTCAGCTTGACAAATGCCCTGTCCGCCTCAGCTGACCACCGCAAGCGCACCGGACCCCCCTTTAGCAGGGACGTAATGGGAGCTGCAACCTGTCCAAAGCCCCGGATAAACCTCCGGTAGTAATTAGCAAAACCCAAGAACCGCTGCACCTCTTTTACGGTGGTTGGAGTTTGCCAATTACGCACAGCCGCTACCCGATCTACCTCTATCTCCACGCCAGACGCGGACAACCGATAACCCAAAAAGGAGACGGACTCCTGGAAGAACAGGCATTTCTCTGCCTTGACATACAAGTCATGCTCCAACAGTCGTCTCAATACTCGGCGCACCTGGGCTACATGCTCGGCTCGTGTAGAAGAATACACTAGAATGTCGTCAATGTACACCACTACACCCTGCCCATGCATGTCCCGGAAAATCTCGTCAACAAAGGATTGGAAGACTGAAGGAGCATTCATTAACCCGTATGGCATGACGAGATACTCGTAATGACCCGAGGTGGTGCTAAATGCTGTTTTCCATTCATCCCCCTCCCTAATGCGCACCAAATTGTACGCGCTCCTGAGATCCAACTTTGTGAAGAACCGCGCTCCGCGTAATGACTCCGTCATCGTCGCAATCAGTGGAAGTGGGTAACTGTATTTTACTGTGATCTGATTGAGACTACGGTAATCAATACACGGGCGCAATCCCCCGTCCTTCTTCTTCACAAAGAAGAAACTCGAGGAGACCGGAGAAGTAGAGGACCGTATGTATCCCTGTGCCAAGGACTCGGCTATGTAAGTCTCCATAGCCGCAGTTTCCTCTTGAGACAGGGGATACACATGACTCCTGGGAAGAGCTGCTCCGGTCTGGAGATTTATCGCACAGTCCCCCTGTCTATGAGGAGGTAGCCGTGCTGCCCTCGATTTGCTAAACGCTAGTGCTAAATCCTCATACTCAGGGGGAATGCGCAGTGCGGGCACTTGGTTCGGACTCTCTACCGAGGTCGCCCCTATGGAAACACCTAGACATCTCCCTACACACTGGGCAGACCATTCCATAAGAGCCCTCTGTTGCCACGCTATGGTAGGATCGTGGGTGCTTAACCAGGGAAGCCCCAACACCACTGGGTACGCAGGAGAGTCAATCAGATAGAACTGAATGATTTCCTCATGACCCCCCTGCGTCGTCATCGTCAGCGGTGCTGTGACATCCCTGATCAGACCCGACCCCAACGGCCGGCTGTCTAATGCGTGGACAGGGAATGGAACTTCTACCGGCCGAAGGGGAATTCCTAACCTAGCACAAAATGCCCGATCAATAAAGTTCCCAGCTGCGCCTGAATCTACTAGCGCCTTATGCTGGGAATGAGGTGCCACCTGTGGAAAACGCACAGGAATACTCATGTGACCAACAGAGAGCTCTGGGTAAGTGGGGCGCCTACTCACCTGAAATGACTCCCCAGTGCGTGACCTGTTGTCCCCTCTCTCAGAAGACCCTCCCCAGCACCTGGCCGCGGTGTGTCCTCCACGGCCACAGTTGGTGCAGGGGGTGGCCCCCCTCGGGTTCTCCCTCCTCCTCTCTCTAGCGCCAGCACCCCCGAGCTCCATAGGAATTGGCTCGGAGGTGCTGGAGGATGGAATGGACGACCCCCACTCGGGACGTCCGCGGGTGGCCAGCAGGGTGTCAAGCCGGATGGAGATGTCCACCAGCTGGTCGAAGCATAGGTTGGTGTCCCTGCAGGCCAGCTCACGACGAACGTCCTCTCGCAGGCTACACCGGTACTGGTCGATGAGGGCCCTCTCATTCCATCCTGCATCCGCAGCTAACGTCCGGAACTCCAGTGCGAACTCCTGTGCGCTCCTCTTCTCCTGTCGGAGGTAGAACAGACGCTCCCCCGCCGCCTTCCCTTCAGGTGGGTGATCGAAGACTGCCCGGAAGCGGCGGGAGAACTCAGCGTAGGTGATGGTAGCTGCGTCTATTCTCCTCCATTCGGCGTTGGCCCACTCCAACGCCTTTCCGGATAGACAGGAGATGAGGGCGGAGACGCTCTCGTATCCCGAGGGCGCTGGGTGTATAGTAGCCAGGTATAGTTCTACCTGCAGGAGGAACCCCTGACACCCGGCTGCAGAACCGTCATATGCCCTCGGGAGCGAGAGCCGAATACCACTGGGTTCCGGCGCTGAGAGAGGAGGACTGACCGGTGGTGATGGGATGGTGTATGAGGACGTGGGCACCTCTCCATTAGCCAACCGGTGCAGAGTGTTGGACACCTCGCCCAGAACGGCCTCCAGTTGCCGGATCATGGAGTCCTGCTGACTGAGCCGTTCTTCTAGCGACCAGGTTGTCGTCGCTGATCCTGCTGACTCCATAGATGGTGTGTTGTTCTGTCAGTTTGGCACCGATGTGGATGTGATGAGGAGTCAGGCGCAGGACACAGAGGTTTAGTCCAACAAACTTTACTATAGTAAAGTGAACAATAATCACTACACGACCTCGAAATACAGAGGCGAGAAACAGTACGCAACATGCGTAAAACAAAACATGTAGAGCGCAAAACACGCAGCTCAAACGACACGCGGACAACAACACACAATATAACTAACACAAAACAGGGAACTTATAGGACACGTAATTAGGACACAAACAGACACAGGTGTACCAGACAGACCAAAGCAATCAACACACGAAACATACAACGGTGGCAGCTAGTATTCCGGGGACGGCGAACGCCGAAGCCTGCCCGAACCAGGAGGAGGAGCAGCCTCGGCCGAAACCGTGACAACTGTAACCTTAATTGCCTACCGTCTGTAAGCTGTTAGTGTCTTAACGACCGTTCCACAGGTGCATGTTCATTAATTGTTTATGGTTCATTGAACAAGCATGGGAAACAGTGTTTAAACCCTTTACAATGAAGATCTGTGAAGTTATTTGGATTTTTACAAATTATCTTTGAAAGACAGTCCCGAAAAGGGACGTTTCTTTTTTTGCTGAGAATTCCACTCTGTAATCTCCGTTATTTCAACATGCTTTCATTGCTCGTATTGTATATAAATGTATAACTATATTTTGATCATATTTATATTTCTATAACTACATTTACAACTCCCTGTCCCATTTAGGGTGGCAGGTAGCCTAGCAGTTAGAGTGTAGGCCAATAACCGAAAGATCGCTGGTTCAAATACCCGAGCTGACAAGGTGAAAAATCTTTTGATACGCCCTTGAGCAAGGCACTTAACCCTAATTTGCTCCAGGGACGCCGTGCTACTATGGCTGACCCTGTAAAACACCACATTTCTCTTCACCTATCCGGTGTACCAATAACAATAATACAAATGTAAATAAATAAATGACATAATCTGCTGTTCCATTGGTCCAGCTCATCACCTCCTCTCTCTATTTCTGCTGTAGGAATGGGATCATTCTCCAGTACCTCGGCATCACTAGAGCACAGGTAAGACAGAAACCTTATCCCCATTTTACATGGGTCTGTTCTTACAATGTCTACTAAAGGCTATTTCTCCAGCAGTGTAGTGTCTGGCAGTATGAATGGCAGTATGCTGAGTTTGCCTCTAGTTCTCCTACTCTTCTTCGTCCAGCATCTCTGAGGAGGACCCGGGGCCACTGCGGAGCGACACTGAGGGAAGACAGGGGACCAAGGTCAGCCGCACCTTCAGTTATCTCAAGAGCAAGATGAGTACTAAGAAGAACAAGGTGAGTCTGTCCATTTAAGCCTCTCTTCCTCCTGCACTAGCAGAGCAAATCACATTTTATTTGTCACATTCTTCGTAAACAACAAGAGGTGTGGACTAACAGTGAAATAACAGGCATAGGGCCTGGCTCAGAATTGCCCCTGAGGGGATAAATAAATAAATATTGAAGTTAATTGAATTGAAGAAGCCCCAGTAGTACACTACCTTTTCAGTCTGACCCTAACGCTATTGTCCATATTGGTGTTGAATCCAATGGATTATTAGGTGTCTAAAGGTTTCTCATTACAGTTCTTTGGATACAAGTTTTCAGGTTATAATTTATGTCCAGGTTAATAACAGAGTGTAGGCTAATACACATATTACAATCTCAAAACTGTTGATTCCGGAATAAGATACTTTTCCCTGACGCGTATCTGTGTTCTGGGTGTCATAATCAGATTGTAAATGACTGTGAGGGAGTATACAGTATATATCTGCTCGGTAAGTGTATCTGGCTGTGAGTCTTTGAGTTGTGAGAAGCAGAGTGAGGCGCCTGGTCTGCACGCAGTAGGAAAGCCAAACAGGAAACAGATGCATGCAGTGGTTTGTCTCAAACAGACGTCTGTATGGCATCACTGCTGCTACGAAAGCAAACCACAATTCGTTCAGACCTAATAACATTAGACTTCCTGATAACATTAAGGGAAATAACAGTAATGCCCAGACCATGCATCAACACAGTTCTCATGTGATTTGATTTCGCTGTGATTGTATCCAAAACAATATCTCATCTTTTTTTAGCAGGCCTAGTTATTACATAGAAGAACATGCTTATAATCAAAAATGCTACTTAATCCATAACACATGAACACTGACCGAGTAAAATGTCCAATGTTTGTATGGCTTCCAATTTGGGCTTTGAAAGTATGTACCTTGTACAGTGCATCCGGAAAGTATTCAGACCCTTTGACTTTTTCCACATTTTGTTGCATTACAGCCTTATTCTAAAATGTATTAAAGTGTTTTTCCCCCCCTCATCAATCTACACACAATACCCCATAATGACAAAGCAAAAACAGGTTTTTAGAAAATGTTGCTAATTTTAGCAAAAACTATAGAAAACTGAAATATCACATGTACGGTCGTATTCAGACCCTTTACTCAGTACTTTGTTGAAGCACCTTTGGCAGCAATTACAGCCTAGAGTCTTCTTGGGTATGACGCTACAAGCTTGGCACACCTGTATTTGGGGAGTTTCTCCCATTGTTCTCTGCAGATCCTCTCAAGCTCTGTCAGGTTGGATGGGGAGCGTTTCTGCACAGCTATTTTCAGGTCTCTCCAGAGATGTTTGATCGGGTTCAAGTCCGGGCTCTGGCTGAGCCTCTCAAGGACATTTAGAGACTTGTCCCGAAGCCATTCCTGCGTTGTCTTGGCTGTGTGCTTAGGGTCATTGTCCTATTGGAAGGTGAACCTTCGCCCCAGTATGAGGTCCTGAGCGCTCTCGAGCAGGTTTTCTTCATCAAGGATCTCTCTGTACTTTGCTCCGTTCATCTTTGCCTCGATCCCGACTAGTCTCCCAGTCCCTGCCACTGAAAAACATCCCCACAGCATGATGCTGCCACCACCATGCTTCACCGTAGGGATGGTGCCAGGTTTCCTCCAGACGTGACGCTTGGCATTCAGGCCAAAGAGTTCAATCTTGGTTTCATCAGACCAGAGCATCTTGTTTCTCATGATCTGAGAGTCTTTAGATGCCTTTTGGCAAACTCCAAGCGGGCTGTCATGTGCCTTTTACTGAGGAGTGGCTTCCGTCTGGCCTCTCTACCATAAAGGCCTGATTGGTGAAGTGCTGCACAGATGGTTATCCTTCTGGAATGTTCTCCCATCTCCATAGAGGAACTCTAGAGCTCTGTCAAAGTGACCATCAGGCTCTTGGTCACCTCCCTGACCAAGGCCCTTCTCCCCCAATTTCTCAGTTTGGCCGGGCGACGATCTCTAGGATGAGTCTCGGTGGTTCCAAACTTCTTCCATTTAAGAATGATTGATGCCACTGTGTTCTTGGGGACCTTCAATGCTGCAGAAATATTTTGGTACCCTTCCTCAGATCTGTGCCACGAAACAATCCTGTCTCGGAGCTCCACGGACAAGTCCTTGAACCTCATGACTTGGTTTTTGATCTGACATGCACTGCCAACTGTGGGACCTTATATAGACAGGTGTGTGCCTTTCCAAATCATGTCCAATCAATTGAATTTACCACAGGTGGACTCCAATCAAGTTGTTGAAACATCCCAAGGATAATCAATGGAAACAGGATGCACCTGAGCTCAATTTCGAGTCTCATAGCAAAGGGTCTGAATACTTATGTAAATAAGGTATTTCTGTTTTTAATTTTTAATAAGTTAGCAAACATTTCTCAACCTCTTTTCGCTTTGTCATTGTTGGGTATTGTGTGTAGACTGAGAAGGAAAAACATTAATTGAATACATTTTAGAATAAGGCTGTAACGTAACAAAATGTAGAAAAAGGGAAGGGGTCTGAATACATTCCTAATGCACTGTACATACTGTACAAAAGTTTGCTGAGAATGTGAGCTAGATTAGAGGCCGGAAGCTGCAGTGGGGCTGGTGTGTAACGAAGACGGCAAAGCAGTCGGCACAGACGCTCATGGTACATCCATGGTAGCTCACTTCCTTCTGTTGGGCTGATGGCTGGCAACATGGGAACGCCAGAGTTCCGTTTGTAGATTCTGTATCGCCTGTTATTACAGACCGGCGTACAGACCATCGTTCAGACAGACTGTCACTGTAATAATGTAACAGACAGACAGACTGTCACTGTAATAATGTAACAGACAGACAGACATACTGCCACTGTGTTGTTGTGTAGACGGCTCCTGGCACACAGTCGCTCACTGAAGCTGAGGGCTGATGCAGTACAGGATGAGGTAGGGGATATTGGTTCTTTGTGTTGACTAACACCTGTCGCCTGTCTCACGGCTCAGACAGGAACAGGCTCTGAAACTCTTCTCTAAATACACATTCTTCCCTTTTTCAGGAGGAATTGCTTTAGCAACACATTTAGGTTGAGTCAGAATCATAGGATATTGGTTGTTTCATTTCCTGTACTGGTTATGAATGCGTGTCTACCTGTACAGTCAACCTGAGAGTGTGTTATTGGCCAGTCCAGTGTATTGTGTCTGTTGTTACACTGATATACTGGAACCTTTTGTCATAATTATGTTTCTGTTTGTTAATGAGACTGAATGAGACTTCTGGATTAAAACAAATACGGAAATATTGTGAAGGGGTTTTTGACAGCTGTCAAACACATGTGGTGTATACTTCCTCAGTACATCTTTGCGCAAATGACTCATATCTCTCGGCTTTGGCTAAGTACTATCCAAGTGTGAGATCTATTTGTGAGCCCTTGATTGATTCAGTATCTCCGGAAAGCATGCACAGTGCCACAGTGCTTTGACTTAGAGAAATGATGGTATTTCCTTTGTATCTCTCTGCAGGAGAAGGAGAAGGCTCAGGGGAAGGAGAAAGACCCCAAGGAGAAGGAGAAAAAAAACCTGAACGGTCATCTCTTCAGCTCTGTGAACCCAGCCCCATCCACAACCTGCCACCAATGCAACAAACCCATTATCACTAAAGAAGCCTTCCTCTGCACCAGTAAGACAACAAATCTGTAATGATCTTATCAGAGTGTTTATGAGAAACCAGACTCCACAGAGTTATTTAGTCACTCTGTTCCATGGTAAGGGTACCACTGCTCCACATTCCCCCCACCATCTCTATATGGCCAACAGCATGCATTAGAAGAGCAGAGTAGCCCACTCCCAATACTTTTTCTTAGAACTATTTTGTTTGTTGTCAGTCTGTCTGAAGCATGATGGACTAGGTGGGGCTGTCCCAGTGAATAGGAGTTGGGTGGTTAGAGGGAAAAGGGGACAGGGGAGGGATGTGGCCCTCGGCCAAGCCAGTCCACTCAGTCCCCTGTTTCACTGGGTTACATCACTCTGCCCCTGGCCCCTGACGCAGCTCTACTCTTACAGGCCGGCTGTGTGTCTCTCTCTCTCTCTCTCTCTCTCTCTCTCTCTCTCTCTCTCTGTCTCTGTCTCTGTCTCTGTCTCTGTCTCTCTCCTCTCTCTCTCTCGCTCTCTGGCAGAGGATGTGCTGTAAGCCCACACAGAATTGTGGCCCACATAGGGTTTGACGAGCAAAGTCCTAAACTTGAAACAAGCCCTTCGTTTTGACAATAGACATAGTTATTCAGAACATATTTTTTCTTGATCAGTGATTTTGATCCTTATCTTAGCTAAAAAGTCAAATAGGGCTTTGCGGAGAGTGAATTAGTTTTGTCTGAAATATTAATAATAGAGTGCAGTGTCTAATGGAGAGCTGCCTCCTCTCTCTGTTCTCTCAGCTTCACTTTGAGAGATTCAGTCTGTCTGTGTTTGACACACAATCAAAACAACTCCCACAAGTTGGCCTCGAAAAATATGAAGGACACACACACCCTGTTGCACAGCACAGTCCCCTCTCACTGTTTAAAACCTCCAGCTGGGAGAGAGCAACAGCACAGTCCCCTCTCACTGTTTAAAACCTCCAGCTGGGAGAGCGCAACAGCACAGTCCCCTCTCACTGTTTAAAACCTCCAGCTGGGAGAGAGCAACAGCACAGTCCCCTCTCACTGTTTAAAACCTCCAGCTGGGAGAGCGCAACAGCACAGTCCCTTCTCACTGTTTAAAACCTCCAGCTGGGAGGGCGCAATAGCACAGTCCCCTCTCACTGTTTAAAACCTCCAGCTGGGAGAGAGCAACAGCACAGTCCCCTCTCACTGTTTAAAACCTCCAGCTGGGAGAGAGCAACAGCACAGTCCCCTCTCACTGTTTAAAACCTCCAGCTGGGAGAGAGCAACAGCACAGTCCCCTCCACTGTTTAAAACCTCCAGCGGGCGAGAGCAACAGCACAGTCCCCTCTCACTGTTTAAAACCTCCAGCTGGGCGAGAGCAACAGCACAGTCCCCTCTCACTGTTTAAAACCTCCAGCTGGGAGGGCGCAATAGCACAGTCCCCTCTCACTGTTTAAAACCTCCAGCTGGGAGAGAGCAACAGCACAGTCCCCTCTCACTGTTTAAAACCTCCAGCTGGGAGGGCCTGCTCATTGTTGTTTCTTCCTTCTTCCCATCTCTTTCCTCCCTGAAGTGTAGTTGTGTTGGTGTTGTTTGGATGGGCTTGACTGGAGGCGGAGCGGAACACTTTGAACTATATGGCCTGTTCATACTCTACACTCAGCCCTGATTCCTCTGTTAGTTATTGTGCAGCTTTTATGTTATTAGATCAACTGTTTTTATGGCGCCTGCTCTGAGTTACCCTCACCTTAACCTGGGCGTGTCTGCTAACTGTGTTCAGTAAACAAGACTTTGTAGTTGTTCAGAGGTCAGACTTGGAGAGCTGGGAGAGGTAAGACACTGTACACTGTCTGAAAGGGTAAACTAGGCAGAAACAGGGAAATTACCTTTTTCTTTACAGAACATAAATGCCATTTTGGGACTTTTTCAAATTATTTTATACAGCCTAAAATCAGGTGGAATCTGGATTTTCTCAGTGTACAGATTAGAGTTTCCTCTTGCTGCCTGTTTGTTTCTATAGGTCAGGGTGGTTCAGATTAGCAATGTTGATTTGGTATGAGTCATACCACCAAGCTAGCAGGTTTTTTACACTGTTGTGTGATCTTGTTGCATTGAAATTATATTATTTACACTAGTAGCAAGTAGCAACGTTGTCACCTGATGAAGGAGGAGGGAGAAATGGGTAGGTCTGACTACTCTGCTTTTCCTGCAGTCTATAACTGATTTTTCTACCAAATCTTTGTGCTAATGTTGTTTTTCTTCTGATGATTTCAGACTGCAATGCACAGGTCCATAAGGGCTGCAGAGAGAGTCTTCCTGTCTGTGTCAAGGTCAAAATGAAGGTAAGCTTGCTCTCAGCTGTCTACAATTCTTCTTCACTCAAACACACAGGAACAGAATGTGTCTGTTTGTCTGTCAGCACGCATCTGTGCGGGATCAGTCTCTGTCTAACGTGTGAATGAATGGGTAACAGGCTTGTTAATGGCATTGATGTATTGTAATACCATACTGTATTTTCAGCAGCAGAAGCAGCAAACAGTGCCAGATCCTGCGTCCGTATCCGGAGTCATGTTGAGAAGTAAATGTAATATATTTATTTGTCCACTAACTGTATGTATGTCTGTCTCTTATCTATGCATTGTTAATATTTTCCCCAAAAATGTTTTACATACAGTATATTTGTATTTATTTGACTTTGTGCATGTACAATTCCTGATATCCTTATGAGCTGTACTACTGTACATGCTAACTTCTGTATTTGTGTGGTCAGCTACATCGTCTCGGGAGCGTCCGTGGTCGGCCACCTCGTCCACTGATGACCAGTCCATGGTTACGGTGGCGGCGGTGGTGCCTCGCAGGAATCCCAGCATCCTCCCCTTCAACAAAAGCAACCTGTCCAAGAGCATCTCCATCAGCAACATCGCAGGGTGAGACACAACACCACTCAATCACCAACCAACTCACTATTGCCTCTTACACACTTGGGTTTTACAACTGATGTACATTTTCATGCTGACACACTCATCAACAGTACTGTATGTGTTGTATCACAAGTGTTGTGTCAAATGCATTGTACATCAATTGTACAGCCAGAGTGTATACACGATTTATGTTATCACTGTAATAGTCACTCCTTCACCAACTCTGTTTCTCTCTTCCACCCTGTCTGTCTGTCTGTCTGTCCATGCAGGCCATTGATGGATGAGATGCCACTGAAGGGCCTGAAGTACCTGTCCCAGTCTACAGACTCACTGCACAAGACCTCCAAGGTCAATGAGTCCACTGAGTCTCTCACTGATGAAGGTAAGGTAGAGAGCTGGAGAGTTATCACTGTGACAGAGCCTATTTGCTGTAGTCTCTCATTGTAGGGATCGGTTCAAAGGAGTGAGCAAATATGACATGTTCGGATTTCCTCTGATGTTTTCAGCCGTTGTTTTGCATTACTTTGTATTGGTCCACTTTACAGCATATGTGAGTGTAGGAGAGCAAATGTATGCTTACAGTACGTACAGTCTGGCCACCCCTGCCCCGTCCATACTAACTGTTCCTGTGTGTGTTGTCCTAGGGACTGAGATGATGGACAGCCAGCTGATGGGAGAGTTTGAGGCAGAGTCTAAGGATCTGGAGGCAGACTCCTGGACCTTCACTGTGGATAAGAAGTATGTGAAGGGGCTCAAGAAGGAGGTGGTCAAGAGACAGGACGTCATCTATGGTAGGAGGGCAACTCTCCCAATCCCACTCATTCCATCACATGTTCCCATCCTTTGTTTCAGTCAAAATCAGAAATAACTTCCTCCATTAGTAAATCCATTAGCTGCTCCTCTCTGTCTGTCACTCGCTCCCTGCGTGCAGCTCACTCTGCATGTGCTCTGCTCATGGCGACTCTGAGTCTGTGAGTATCCATAGCAATGGCTCTGCTTGGGCTGCTAGCTACTTTTCGTCACTCAACTCTGACAAAACTCAAGGAACATTATTATTTTCTGTCAAATAATCTCTCTTGTCTTATATTTGACGAGGTTGAAGCACTTCTGACGCCATGTTATGATCTTAGTCATATATGACTGTACTGCACAGCACAGCACGCGCAAATGGTCAGCTTCAAAATGTTAGTGATCAATTTAGTCCTGATGTATAATGTCGGGGCCGTCGGGCTTGGGTCGGATAGCAGAACTCTACCCCCACCCCCATCAAAGTTGCCCATCCCTGAAATACATGGAGTGCACAGTGCAATGAAGTGCTTACTTGCAGGTTTGCATATAGACTCGCATATAGAATCCCTATTAATTTAATAGGATCTCTGTGGGACTAATAGTAAAGATTTGTCCTTTTTAATATTAAAATGTATTACCTTTTAAAGTGGCATAAACACAACCAGTCATGATGTTTTCATCTGATTGTCAAACAATCACTTCAATAGGCTCCTGTAAGCCTGACCACCTGTATGCACTCACTAACTGTAAGTCGCTCTGGATAAGAGCGTCTGCTAACATGTAAATGTAAAAATCCATACACTGCACTGGGCACCCGCCATTTGATGAATGGAAAGAGACATCTGTTAAGGTGCCCGCATACTAGGTTCACTTTGCTCCTAGCATAACTCAGCTAGGTGAAGCGAATGTCTGTGCCTCACATACTCCCTTAAAAGACCTTAGCTTGAAAAACGAGAAAAAAGCAGCAATATTACTGTTTGTCCCTCTTGAGATGCCGTAGCAACAACAAATAAATAAATATTTATCAATCAAATCCTGCTGAACACCAAAATGAACAAAAATGTCACAATGTTTTCATAATATATGCGCAAACTGTTTCGACTGAGAAGCATGCGACAGGCTTTACAAAACACCAAAAAGTATAATGAATGACATTCAGTGATGACACTTGTAACCTGAATTGATGCGTCCACTGCTGTCCGCGTGCATCTCCATCTAGGCCACTCACCTCTGCCTTCGCAAAATGCCACCTTTATCGTCGAACCACACCGCATTTTGGAACGTATTACACATGTTTTTAAGTCCATTCGCAAAACAATGAATGCGACTGACATGCGTTAATGATAAATAAAAGTGTAATAGCTTACAGTTTTATTTGCATCTTTGTTTAATTATTGTGATAGGGTCATGTTTAACCAGGACGGCATACCCCCACTATTTATTTTGACGATACTCTTTACCGGACCGTACCAGCTTACTTTCACTCCTGGGTTAAACACAATGTGAGGGTGTTGTTAATTGGGATTTTGCACTATAACCCACTCTCTACCTCTCCCTCCTACCCTTCCCTTCCTGTCTCTCTGCAGAGCTGGTCCAGACAGAGATGCACCACGTACGGACGCTGAGGATCATGTCTGAGGTGTACAGTAAGAGCCTGCAGAAGGAGTTGCAGCTGGAGGCCCTGACGGTGGAGCGGATGTTCCCCATGCTGGACGAACTCCTGGATCTACACACACACTTCTTCACACACCTCCTGGAGCGCAAGAGGGAGTCCTCAATCGAGGGTCGGGATGACGGGAGCTTCCTCATCCACAAGATAGGAGACGTCCTTGTCTCACAGGTTAGCAGGGGGAGACTGTTTGTCGCCCTGAGGGGTTTAGCGATCCTTGTGGAAATGTTGTGGAAATGTTGACTAGTAGGCTAACCTGTAAGTTAACTTATTAATCTTATATGGGTTTTCTGGTCTTCAGTTCTCAGGGCCCAATGCGGACCGCATGAAGAAAGTCTACGGGAAATTCTGCAGTCACCACAACGAGGCGGTCAACTTTTATAAGGAGCTTCACACCAAAGACAAACGCTTCCAAGCCTTCATCAAGGTAACTAACTACTCTTTGTTGTACATGGTTATAAGCAGTATGAAAAACATAACTTTCTCCACCAGGTGGTGCCACTACACTGTTGTAATTTTATTGCATAAACCTGCAGTTGTTTGAAGCAGAATATTCATATCTGAATTGTATCTGTCTGTGTTTTTCAGAAAAAGATGAGCAGCACAATAGTCCGAAGACTAGGCATCCCAGAGTGCATCTTATTAGTGACACAGCGAATAACCAAGTACCCCGTGTTACTACAGAGGATACTGCATCACACCAAAGGTGAGACCTGGTATTCTCTATTCCTTGAATGGCACTCATACACTTGCTTTGTTAGAAAGACGAGTGGCGCAGCGGTCTAAGGCACTGCATCAAATGTGTTAGAGGCGTCACTACAGACCCTGGTTCGATCCCAGGCTGTGTCACAGCCAGCCGTGACCGGGAGACCCATGAGGCGGCGCACAATTGGCCCAGCGGTCATCCGGGTTAGGGGAGGGTTTGGCCGGCTCGGATGTCCTTGTCGCATCGCGCTTTAGCAACTCCTTGTGGCAGCGATGGGACAAGACTGTAGCTACCAATTGGATATCACGAAATTGGGGCGAAAAAGGGGTAAAAAGTACAACAAAATTAAGAAAGAAAGAGCAGTGATGGAGATAGTTGTGAGGTCTCTTCCTCTGTGTGTGCTGAAGTGACATGCAGGTCTTATTTCCCTGATGCAGAGAATGAGGAGGATCATGAGGATATAACCCAGGCTCTGAGACTGGTGAAGGAGATTCTAAATGCGGTGGACAACAAGGTGAACGAACATGACAAGAAGAAAAGGTTGAAAGAGGTGTACAGTCGTACGGACAGCAAGTCCATTCAGAGGATGAAGAGTGGCCAGATGTTTGCACGGGAAGACCTGTTGAGAGGCAGGAGGCTGCTGCATGATGGACCACTGCAGCTCAAGAACTCTGCAGGCAGACTAAAGGGTACGGGTCAGCCCTGTTTATCTGTCTCATTCGCCCTCTCTGTCTCTCACTCTGTTTCTCTTTCTTTCTCATTCCCTCCTCTCTCCCTCTCTTTCTAGTTTTTTCTCACTCTTTCTCTCCTCAATTTCTCTGTGTCTCTCTCTCCCTTTCTTCCTCTCCCTCTTCTCCCCCCGCCCTCCCTCCCTCACTGATCCTGAATCTTTGTTATTTTTCACAGATGTCCAGGCCATGCTGCTGTCTGACGTGTTTGTGTTCCTCCAGGAGAAAGACCAGAAATATGTCTTTGCCTCACTGGTATGTTATGTTTGTTATTCCCAGCTCATTGTTTCATATGTACCACACTCTGTAGAGAACCGTGCCCACTTCATGTTAGTTTACACCAAGTTTAGCTTGCTGTGCTGTTATAACACCAGTCCTTCAGCTCTATTAATATTGTGCCTCGCAAGGCCGTTGCATGCTAGCTTCCATAGAAACCTGGTCTATACATCCTTCAATAGAAACCTGGTCTATACATCCTTCAATAGAAACCTGGTCTATACATCCTTCAATAGAAACCTGGTCTATACACCTTCAATAGAAACCTAGTCTATGGCCTCCTGAGTGGCGCAGCGGTCTGAGGCACTGCATCGCAGTGCTTGAGGCGTCACTACAGACCCGGGTTTCGATCCCGGGCTGTGTTGCAGCCAGCCGCGACCGGGAGACCCATGAGGCGGCGCACAATTGGCCCAGCTGCATGCACGTTGACTTAGGTCGCCAGCTGTACGGTGTTTCCTCCGACACATTGGTGCGGCTGGCTTCCGGGTTAAGCGAGCAGTGTGTCAAGAAGCAGTGCGGCATGACAGGGTCGTGTTTCGGAGGACGCATGGCTCTCGACCTTCGCCTCTCCCGAGTCCGTACGGTAGTTGCAGCGATAGGACAAGACTGTAACTACCATTTGGATATCACGAAATCGGGGTGAAAAAGAAACCTGGTCCTTCAATAGAAACCTGGTCAATACATCCTTTCACCTCCATTCTCCCTCTCCTTCCCTCCTCTCACTCCATTCCTCCCTCTCTCTTTCCCCTCCATCCCCGCTCTCCCGTCCCTCAGGACCAGCGGTCCACGGTGATCTCCCTGCAGAAGCTGATTGTGCGTGAGGTGGCTAATGAGGAGAGGGGTCTGTTCCTGATCACAGCGGGGATAGAGAAGCCAGAGATGGTGGAGGTGCTGGCCAGCACCAAGGAGGAACGCAACACCTGGATGCAGCTGATACAGGACGCCATGCACTCCATGTGAGTCAGTTAGACAGGAACACACATAGAAATATAATGACTAGAACGGGTAAGCCCATCAGACCACAGCAATTTGATTCTGAAAAAATATCTGTATTTCTATTTCTATGGGAACACACACATTGTGTACCCACAGATACACAAACCAATATCATATACGTAGAACATATTTGTTTTATACTACACATGCAGTGTAAATGGTTTGATTGATGGAGGATTGTGTGTGTTAACAGAGAGAAGGATGATGATGAGGGAATCCCCAGTGAGACCGAGGAAGACAAGAGACTGCTGGAGACCAAAGCACGGGAGATTAGAGGTAAAACCTGTTCAGTTTTTTCATCAAATACTGTATAACCTGATGGATATGCTCTGTCAGAGTTGTGTATGACAAGTATTAACCACAGTGTGTGTCTCTGTTCCTCTCAGAGCTGCTGAGGAAGAAGGATGAGCAGATCGTGAGTCTATTGGAGGAGAAGGTGAAGGTGTTCAGGGACATGTGTGAGGGTGGCAGCGGCCCAGCGGAGGAGACCAGCCCAACCCAGTCTATCAGGACCAGAATGCTGTTTAGAGCCACTCCAGACGACATCACCAAGGGAGAGCCCATCATGAAGGATGCCCTGAGGGAAGGTGAGTCAGAGTGGACGGCCCTCGGGCAGAAACCACACACAACACAGATTACCCTTTATCCAATCAGTGATCACCTATTGAATTACCTGGACACATGGTCAACCAGTGATTTCCCCCTGAAGACACACAGGACCAATCAGAAACAATCAGGAAATTACCCGAAAATACCCCTAATATAATATAATGCCGATAGCAGCTGAAAGACAAAGGCAGAGAGATTACAGAATACTGCCGAAAACTAATTGTTGGCTAAAGCCAGAGTGATATATGGTTACTTGTCATAGTTATTTATATCAGCGTTTTCTCTCTGTAGACAGGGATAGAATCAATGCATAAGGGTACAAATGAATTGCTTTAATGCTGCAGGTTGAGTAATGAGACAGATATTGATATTTCTTCTCCTTTTCTCCTGGTTGCCTTAGTTGCCCAGTTTATGGAGGTCTGTCCGGGTTGCTTCAGCTACCTAGAGTAGTGTGTGTAGTCCTTACTGAAATCGCACAGTATGGTGTGTGTGTGTACAAGACCTGGCAAATAGTAATGAAAAACAACACACCACTGTGAATGATTTTACAGTGAGGGAAAAAAGTATTTGATCCCCTGCTGATTTTGTACGTTTGCCCACTGACAAAGAAATGATCAGTCTATAATTTTAATGGTAGGTTTATTTGAACTGTGAGAGACAGAAGAACAACAAAAAAATCCAGAAAAACGCATGACAAAAATGTTATAAATTGATTTGCATTTAAATGAGGGAAATAAGTGTTTGACCCCTCTGCAAAACATGACTTAGTACTTGGTGGCAAAACCCTTGTTGGCAATCACAGAGGTCAGACATTTCTTGTAGTTGGCCACCAGGTTTGCACACATCTCAGGAGGGATTTTGTCCCACTCCTCTTTGCAGATCTTCTCCAAGTCATTAAGGTTTCGAGGCTGACGTTTGGCAACTCCAACCTTCAGCTCACTCCACAGATTTTCTATGGGATTAAGGTCTGGAGACTGGCTAGGCCACTCCAGGACCTTAATGTGCTTCTTCTTGAGCCACTCCTTTGTTGCCTTGGCCGTGTGTTTTGGGCCATTGTCATGCTGGAATACCCATCCACGACCCATTTTCAATGCCCTGGCTGAGGAAAGGAGGTTCTCACCCAAGATTTGACGGTACATGGCCCCGTCCATCGTCCCTTTGATGCGGTGAAGTTGTCCTGTCCCCTTAGCAGAAAAACACCCCCAAAGCATAATGTTTCCACCTCCATGTTTGACGGTGGGGATGGTGTTCTTGGGGTCATGGGCAGCATTCCTCCTCCTCCAAACACGGCGAGTTGAGTTGATGCCAAAGAGCTCCATTTTGGTCTCATCTGACCACAACACTTTCACCCAGTTCTCCTCTGAATCATTCAGATGTTCATTGGCAAACTTCAGACGGGCATGTATATGTGCTTTCTTGAGCAGGGGGACCTTGCGGGCGCTGCAGGATTTTAGTCCTTCACGGCATAGTGTGTTACCAATTGTTTTCTTGGTGACTATGGTCCCAGCTGCCTTGAGATCATTGAAGAGATCCTCCGTGTAGTTCTGGGCTGATTCCTCACCGTTCTCATGATCATTGCAACTCCACGAGGTGAGATCTTGCCGAGGGAGATTGACAGGTCTTTTGTGTTTCTTCCATTTGCGAATAATCGCACCAACTGTTGTCACCTTCTCACCAAGCTGCTTGGCGATGGTCTTGTAGCCCATTCCAGCCTTGTGTAGGTCTACAATCTTGATCCTTGGAGAGCTCTTTGGTCTGATTGATTGATTGCTTCTGTGGACAGGTGTCTTTTATACAGGTAACAAGCTGAGATTAGGAGCACTCACCTTAAGAGTGTGCTCCTAATCTCAGCTCGTTACCTGTATAAAAGACACCTGGGAGCCAGAAATCTTTCTGATTGAGAGGGGGTCAAATACTTATGTCCCTCATTAAAATGCAAATCAATTTATAACATTTTTGACATGCATTTTTCTGGATTTTTTTGTTGTTATACTGTCTCACTGTTCAAATAAACCTACCATTAAAATTATAGACTGATCATTTCTTTGTCAGTGGGAAAACGTACAAAATCAGCAGGGGATCAAATACTTTTTTCCCTCACTGTATGTCACGGTACTGCAAGAATACAGCACCAGAGTGCAGGACCTATCCCCATGTGTGTAATTTGTGTGTGTGTGTGTTTCAGTGGAGACTCTCCATGTGCTGGTGAATGGCGGTCTGGGTGGGGCCGTGGGGCAGCAGGTGTCCAGTACCCAAGATGCATCAGGGGGCAGTGTGGGGCCGGTGTGTCTGCCTCGCCGCGCTGAGACCTTCGGAGGCTTTGACAGCCACCAGATGAACATCTCCAAGAGTAAGAACACCTCACACACTCCTACTCCCTCTCTCCCTATGTACCCTGACTGGCTGTCATACTGTAGCTGACTGTCATCTGCAGCTGTGGGATAAAGGTCTCCTTTTTTTTTATTCCAGACGGAGAGAAAGAAGAGGGGGATGACACATTAGACCTTCGGAGGACTGAGTCCGACAGTGTGTTAAAGAAGGTAATTACAGTAACTGTACATCTCAGAGATGTGTGAGTCACAGCAAAGGAATGAAAGGAACAGAGAAATGCTTTTAGACCAGCTTAGACACACACACACACACACACACACACTTTGTTCATTAACTCCTGGCTATTCTTTATAACTATTATTTCCTAACCAATGCCATCAGGAGGGATTTCAACTTGCCTGTGTCTCAGTAGGCCTGGTCCAGTCCCCCATCACCACCACTGACATTAACAGACAGACATTATCCCAGCCCGGGTCCCTGGGCTGGCTGAGCTGAGGTCCATATTAATAAGGCTCCATGAGGCTAGGTGATACCCCCGGTCCGGCTGGGCTGTGTGGGAGCAGTCCTATGCTTTTAATGCCTACAATCTCCTCTGCTCAGGCCTCCCCGGCAGGCAGGTGGGATCAAGCTCTTCCTTTGAGGGGGTGATTAACATGGCCCCACGCCTCGGCAGCTCTGTTATTATCTCAGTAACTAACTGCAGCTGTACTTGTCTTCTTCCACAGGGGGGCAACAACAACCTACTGCTGCTGCTCAAGAGGAACAGTGAGGTAGGGCTGACTCCAATGCTATCTTACACTACCAGCATACTGTACATCCCTGATTGACTGGCTGGCAGACTGGCTGACTGGCTGACTGACTGGCTGACTGGCTGCGTGAGAGAGGCATCACTACCTGCTCCCACGGACAGGCCTCTCTTGTTGCTACTGTACTGTACTATGTTATTTCATAGGAAGCATTTTATTGTGTGTATGTTCCTACTGTGTAACCATACACAGGTAAATGTTTATGATCTCTCTTCTTGTCTTATAGCAGGTCCTCCACAGTGTCACACACCTCCATGACCTCCTCAACACACTGCAGGTATATCCACTTCTCCTCTCTTTCATACAACTGTTCTCCTCTATTCTTCCCTTCTCCTCACTTTCATTAGATCGATCACGCAGAGCTGTTAAAAAGCACACTGACACACAAACTGTACATTAGTATGGATGTCAATACAAGTTCATGTGTTTATAACCGTGTGTTTGTTGCTGTCCTCCTGCAGGCGGTGGTGGTGCAGCAGGACACCTTCATTGAGGACCAGCGTCATGCTCTGGCTGAGCGGCCAGCCTCCCGCCACTCCTCCACCTCCTCCCTGTCCTCCTCCTCCTCTCGGCCCAACTCCCTGATCGAGCAGGAGAAGCAGCGCAGCCTGGAGAAGCAGAGGCAGGAGGTGGCCAACCTGCAGCGCCAGCAGGCGGCCCACGCTGACGAGAGGAGGAGGAGGGAGAGGGAGTGGGAGGTGAGGGAGTCGGGGCTGGGCGACAGGGAGGCGCAGGTGAAGGAGCAAGAGGAGGAGACGGTGAAGAGGCGCAGGCAGATGGAGGAGGAGAGGCAGGAGCTGCAGAGGAGGAAGGAGGAGTACCAGAGGGATCTGGAGAGGCTGAGGGACACCCAAAGGAAGCTGGACAGAGACAGGGAGACGCTGCATAGGGAGGCTGAGATGGTGGAGCAGATAAAGAAAGCTGAGGTGAGCTGGATCAGCTGACACGTTTCTCAAAGAGGGCTGCTGCTCACTGGTCTCTGTCTGTTACCTTACATTAAATAAATTATATAACTATTATGTAACCATAATGGACTGACTACACATAGGCAATGTAATGATGGCCTTAGAATAACCCTTTACCTACCGCTTATCATAACCACCTGGGCTCAAGCCTGAGCTTCTAATCCTAAAACTAGTTCAACCTTGACTCCTAGATATAATCTCTTCCTTCAAAAGTAAGATTCCATCATTAAGTTGCTGTGAGGCTTAACTCCCCACTTCTTTGCTGTATGGTTTGCTTTGATCTGTAGGCAGAGCAGGCACACAGGATACAGCGGACGCCCTCCACCACCTCAGAGGAGTCCATGAAGTTCCAGAGCTCCACCTCTCTGGATAGAGAGCCTGGAGGAGGGGAGGCAGAGCTGTCCTCCTCCCCCGCCACCAAAGACCCCTTCCTCAGGATGGGCTCTAAGAGGAAAGGGAAGAACCTGAACCCATTCTCCTCCTTGTCCTCTTCCTCCAACGCCAGCTCCAAGGCCCAGAGCAGCACAGAGGGCCAGAACCAAATCCCTAACCGCCTGATGCAGCTGGCCAAGACCAAGGACAAGAAGGAGAAGAAGAAGAAGAAAGGGAAGGGCCAATCACAGCCAGGTACCAGTAGCACCACACATCTTTGTAAGGAAAAGAGAGCCATGGGAACAGTATACTTACCTGTGCTAGGCACTATACACTGAGTGTACAAAACATTAAGAACACCTGCTCTTTTCATGACAGACTGACCAGGTGAAAGCTATGATCCCTTATTGATGTCACTTGTTAAATCGACTTCAACTCAATATTAGGAAGGTGTTCCTAATGTTTGGTATACTCAGTGTATGAGGGATGTTGTTTAACTAAAGTCTATGTCTGTTTTTCTTCTCCACAGATCCCCAGAACACTGGGGTCACAGAGCCTCAGGGCGACGGAGAGATCTTCTTCTGCTGATCCCTCTGTCCTCCACTATCCCACAATGCCCCACACTCACTGCATCAACTGACTGCCAGACCATATAGTAGTGTGGCCAGATAGACATGCACCCCATTGACATACTGTACCCTACCCACTGACCTGGACCTGGAGGGGTCGGTCATGGCCATGGACAGGAAGTACAGCTAGAGCACTTCCTGTGAACTTATTACGGAACCATGCAGACACTTCCCACTTAGTTGCCACTCTGAATTGTCTAGGTGTGACTTTTGGATGATGATAGTTCGGATTTGATTATGTGGTGAAGCTGCAAGTCTGCTATGGATTGGCATGCATGGGTTGGTTGCCTTGGTGTTTGATAGTGTTCAGATATGATTTGAACAGTTTCAGAAATTCTATCATGGCTAGAATAAGTTTTATCATTCATGAAGTATACAGTAGATGACATTAGTTTTCTTTGTGAAGGGAAGATTTAACAGAGCAGGTGCCGTAGGGGAGTGACTGTAGAATGTTCTGCATTTCACAAATTCAATTATACCCTAAAGCCAATATGACAAAAGAGAGCATACACTCTATTCAACAATTCCAGGTGAGTGAGTAAAGCTTATGTAATAGTGTTTCTTGTAATACTTCTAAAGGTATTGCTTAACACTAGGCCCCATAATGCTTTGTTCCCGCCTGTAAGGAACTAGATCCTCATTTCTCCCATCAACGCTACAAAATAAGTTGTAAAGAAAGGCAACTGCAGGTTAGAGAAGACATGACTAGAGAGAGAGAGAGAGAGAGAGAGAGAGAGAGAGAAAGAGAGAGGAAGAGAAGGAGAGAGAGAGAGCGAGAGAGAGAGAGATCGAGAGAGAGATATACGAGCTCTCTAGCTCAGCGCGACTATGATCCTCGCTCGTCTAGCTAATCGCTCTATCTCGCTATTCGCTCTCTCTCTCTCTCTCTCTACTCTCTCTCTCTCGCTTCTCCCTCTCGCTCTCTCTCAGGGGATGTATTAGTTACTCCTCACCGTCCAGGTTCTGTGACTGATGGCCAGCATGGACACCCGACTTGGTGAGCGCTTGGTAAGGAATGGAGGGACAGCTGTGTCTCATAGGCAGAACTCTTCCTGATGTCTGAAATAAAGGAGAGCGAGAGAGAGATCAGTAAGCTGTCTGAGTGAAAATAAAACATGAATTAAACTACTGTGCATAGAGAGCACCAGTCTACATGGGATGGTACAAAGATTCAGTGCAAGTGCAATTCATTGTTGCAAGCAAAACACAGGACCTCTATGGTAAAGATACGTCTGGACAGTATAGTGTGTGAGGGTTACCTGGCTGTAGAGGCTGCTGCAGTCTCCCAGGTCTGACTCCTGCTCCTCTGTTAGGGACAGAAGCGAGCCCCTCTCCTCACTGTCCAGACGTGCAACGGTCCCCACACCAGAGGAGACCTTCCCAGTATCCTCCTCTCCAGCCAGACCCTCCAAACTGTAACTGGCGCTATTGTCCACTTTGCAATTTAATGTAATGATGAAAACTGTTAGATGTTCCAGCTGACTGCTTCTATTCCTCCACTGCACACTTGAGTTTGAATTTGTGAACCATTTTATTTGTCAATCACTGCAATGCAATACTGGCACATTGTTTGAAGGTGATGAGCACTTTAGATAATATTCAAGTGGAGAGACTTCCTAATTTACAGTGAGTGACAATCATTCAATTTACCCAGACTAAATCGAAATCCAGACTGATTAAGGAATATCTCTCACAATAATGGATTTACAGAAACTAAAATTATGGTTTTCTTCCCCCTGTAATATTTTTATGATGATACTGGAATAGATTCATCTAGCCCTGACCAACCATTCCCATTGGAATTACACTGATACTTTATATCTGCCTGCAGGACAGGCTGTTCTTCTATTAGTCAAACCAAACCTTTCCTCTGGACAAAACCCCATATTTCCCTATTTTCCCTGCAGTGTGCTCTAGTATTGGTTGCCTGTGGTGCCATAAGCTCTCTTGTGCTTCTCAAATGGTCCAGAATGATTAATGTCCCTGTATTTTCTTCATTGATATTTTTCCATCAATGCTCCGGTCTGGGGTTTTGATCCATATAACCAGACGTACGTAAAGCCTAATATTTCAGTCTTGTCATTTCTCTTTTCTGCTGATGATCAGAATTTAAAACGAAAGCACAGCAAAGTCCTCTTCTGACTCGGTAAAACTGAAATATGGTGCTAATCATCACACATAGGCTATTTACACAGGCAGCCCAATTCTGATCTTTTTATCACTAATTGGTCTTTTGACCAATCAGATCAGCTCTAAAAAAGATATATGATGTGATGGGTAAAAATACCAATTAGTGGAAAAAATATCAGAATTAGACTGCCTGTGTAAATGCAGCCTAACTGTTCTGCTTCTTCTTGTCTGCATTGGCTTATCTTGTTTTGACCATCAGATGGCACTGTGGCAATCTTCATAGTTCACCACCACAATCCACTCTGTGGGATTTGTCATCTTGATATCTCACAACAATTCCCCCTGGTCATATATATGCAAAGTGAATCACCATGTTAACATGGTGTTTTATGGCCTTGTTTAGTGATTTTACAAAAGTGAAAGCATAGGGAGGAATCATTGGCATTTTGATTGATTGGTTAATTCACACTCACTGACTTGCCTTAATAGACATATTCCACTTTTGACAGGTGTGAACGTTCTTAGACCCTACCCTTTATCACTTGATATTCTTCTGGGAATATCTGCTAATCATCCCTTCAACAACAACTGTCATGGCCGTCTACAGTATAGATGTTGAGCAGTGCTACAGTAGCTTTGAAATGTTGTACATGATGCATTGTGGCAAATGCAAAGATAGGGGAGACCATTATGCTCAAATTGAAATGCACTAGAATATTAACCAGCATCTGTGAGGAGTTGGAGTGGGTTTTACAGTTATACTGTATACCAGTGCTTTTAAAGTAATTTGTTGTTTGTACTAAAAAGGTACAATTTGTATTTCTTGCGGAATTTCATGTAAAAAGAAAAAAAAGGGCAAAGTAACCATTATGTAAATATGTGTCATGTACAAATTGAACTTTTAAAGTATTGTTTGTGGATTTTTGGATCGATTTAAGCTTTTTATAATGAGGCTTTATTTATCAGTGTCCTCCCTGTTTTGGAGGTATAAAATGTAAATTCATTTTTCTCTTAATAAATAACTATTGTTTGTCAACTGAGATTTGTGTCTGTGTCTATTTTCTCCCCTTGTCTTTGTGTGTTGATAGTTTGTACTATAATGAAATGGCTGTGGTGTGCCTCTAGACCACACATAATGGCCAGTCAGTCAGGGCAAGTCTGCGCGGATCGTGTTTCACAGTTTTGGGGTGAATGTAGGCCTTCATTGACTGTCATGCCAACTGCACAGAGGGTATGTTTGATTTAACCACCTGTTGTTACTCTCTTTCTCTCTCTCACGCTCTCTCTGTCTCTATCATCATGTGCTGTCTAGTTTGACGAGGTACCTCGCAAAACTGCCATTCCTCTGCAGGGCATATTGTCTTTCTTTACGCTTGTGTGTTCCGCTCAATGGACAGAGATAGATAGAAATGTACTTGTCTTTTTCACTCTAGCATGCTTTTTCATCCACCTCACTGCCAGCTCTTTAGGATGAGAGTGGCTTCAGGAGGAATTCTGTGGTAGAGGGTATGGCGGAGTCCACTTCTGGATGTGACTAGCCCTGCCTTTGTCAGTGACAACAAGTGACCCTGCCCAGCTGGCCTGCACCGTACCGCACTGCGCCGATGAGAAACACAGGACGTCAAGGTAAGAGGAGGGGAAGATAAGAAACTGGTTTCTAATCAGATCCAATCTTAATCTTTTCCTGATTCCTGACTAAAGAATGTACACATTTTGTCTCTGGTTGATAATACAAAAAACAGCTAATCTAAAGAATGTTTTCCCTCGCTTATACCAGTGGTTTAACTAACACATTATCCTATCTATTTCTACTTTCTAGTATGTTGTCCGAGATGAGTATACATATTTGACTTTGAAAGTCAGATTAATAATGTTTTTTTGGGATACAAACAGCTGTATTAAGCTGTGATGAGCATTCTCTAGCAGCTGCTGTGAAATGCCCCACACTCAGGTCCAGATCTATATAAATTCCCAGAGCTCCAGCCTACAAGATGTCTGCCATTATAACTTCACCTAAGCACATATTCATCTTCGCTAGTATGACCTTTTCAAAGTGTTTCCTAATCCCCCTGGCCCTCCCCCCTTCCCTACCTCCCTCCACTGCAGTGGAAGAATGACTAGGCGACCTGTCACACCGTTAGAATGTGAGCAGAGCAGCAGAGATTTGGCTTGTAAAGGATGATATTATCATGCATTGCTCACTGTCAGTAGTGACCTTTATCCAGCTCCTGGTGCCAATTGGTGTGTAATGTGAAAGAGCTATTCTAGACTGCTCCATCTGGGGGAAGAAAGGAAAGGGACAAACAAAAGAAACCTGAGCCTTTATTGTGTTCCGTGATGACGGGCATATAAATATTGTCCGTATGTTCGCTAGAACAGACTAGTGTTGTTCTGATATGGGCATGAGTCATTATTCTCCTTATACATATTATAGTACAAACCTCAATGAGCTGCTCTGTGCGGTAGTAAACATACAGTATGTTATGGCAACCTAA